GCTCCGCTCTGAAACTTCACAAACCAGGCCTCCACCATCCGCACAACCCTCAACATTCCTGTCTTCCCAGCTCCCCCAAAACACCTCACTATGCTCTTAATACTCAATAACTTTTCTAGCCCAAAGTTCCAAAGTTCTTTCACAATCCTTGCAAAAACAATGTAACATGGTCAGATCTGCCACAACAATACCCCATTATCCTGGTACCAACTTGTCTTTTAGCTGGGATTTCTATTGCTGTGATGAAACACTATGGCCAAAGCAACTTGGGGAGGAAAGCATATATTTGGTTTACACTTCCATATCATTCATCATCAAAGGAAGTTGGGACAGAAACTCAAACAGAGCAGGCACATGGAGACCATGGAGGACTGCTGCTTACTGGCTTGCTCTTTATGGCTTGCTCAGCCTGCTTTCTTATAGAACCCAAGACCAGCAGCCCAGGGTCGGCACCACCCACAATGGACGGGTCCCCCTACGTCAACCATTAATTAAGGAAATGCCCTCCAGCCAGATATTATGGAGGCATTTTCTCAATGGAGGCTCTCTTCTTTCAGATGACTCCAGCTTGTGTCAAGCGGACATAAAAGCAGCCAGCGCAGTGTTCAATGAGTTATGTGCTGAATGAAAGAATGAAAGCAGATAAAACACTATGGAGTCAGTCTGTGCTTTCCAGTTCTGTGCGGCTGTTTGATTCTGGTTACGCATTTGTGCCTTGAGTGTTCTACAAAACAGGGGTAGTAGCAGCAGCTTTTGTGAAAAATAAGAATCCAAATGAGAAACAAACTCAGAACAGAGCATACAATAAATGTCACTGTTGTTGTTGTTGTTGTTGTTGTTGTTGTTGTTGTTGTTGTTGTTACTGCTATTATCCTTATCTCATTTCTGGTGTTGGGTAGAGTAGGGTTCAGTTAAATTCCATACTTTGTGCAATACTACAGGTGCTCATTACCAATAAATCATATTTGTAATTTTTGTTTTATTTTGTTGTTTTGTTTTTGTTTCTTGAGATAGGGTTTCTCTGTGAATTCCTGACTGTCCTGGAACTCATTCTGTAGACCAAGTTGACTTCTGCCTCCCAAATGCTGGGATTACAGGCATGTATCACTTCTGCTCAGCTCCAATAAATCATTCTTTGTGAATGAAAGCATAAAACTCACCAAACAATAAAATGAGTTTCCCAAAAGACTTAATGTTTTGCAATATTCTAAAGACTGTTCAAGGCCGAGTATGGTGACTCATACTTATTCATACTTATGCCCAGTACTCAGAATGCTGAGGCAGGAAGATTCCCAATTTCAATGAGTTCCAGCCCAGACTATACAGTGAAATCTATTTTTTCTTTCTTTCTTTCTTTCTTTCTTTCTTTCTTTCTTTCTTTCTTTCTTTCTTTCTTTCTTTCTTTGTTACTTATGTTCTCTCTTTTTCTTTTGTATTGATTCTTTGGTAATTTCACATTGTGGACCCCTGGTGCGGGAGAATTGTCTGTATTCTGTCAATCATGTTTTAAATAAATGCAGGAAGTATAGGCAGGAAAACAAGACAGGAAGTAGAGGTGGAGCAAAGATAACAGGAGTATTCTGGGAAGAAGGAAGCTCCTTTGCCAGTTCTGCCCAGACCACCGAAGAGGCAAGATATAAGCTGCCGCACGGAGAAAGGTACCGAGCCATGTGGCTAACATAGATAGAATAATGGGTTAATATAATCTACAAGAGCTAATAAGTAGCCTGAGCTAATGGGCCAATCAGTTTTATAACTTATGGAGATCTCTGTGTGATTTTCTTTTGGGTTTGCCGGCTGTGGGGTACCAGACGGGACAGAAACCCCAACAAGCAGGACCCCTCATGATACAGACCCCAATCTCACTCATTTTCCTGTCCTTTCATGTTCATTCTCCACCAATGTAGCCTCCACTGAAACAAATATAATTTTTAAGAAATCTCTCCCTTCACTCGGGAGGCAGAGGCAGGCGGATCTCTGTGAGTTTGAGACCAGCCTGGTCTACAAGAGCTAGTTCCAAGACAGGCTCCAAAACCACAGAAAAACTCTGTCTCGAAAAACCAAAAAAAAAAAATCTTTCCCTTGTCTTTCCTGGCTCTTTATTTCATATTCATTTGTTGTAGTGGCCTTGGGAGCTGCAATGTGTCATGCAGTAGACCCTTTTACCTGAACAGCTTTACTTGCAAAAGTTCATTGCAATGAGTTATTGGTTATTGGTCTGATTCAAGGCCTCTGGCTTCTAGTACACCATCAATACTGGACCCTCACTGAGACTCCTCTAGGGCATCCTGCTGTTGCCCTGAGTCATGGAGATCCTGTGACTACAGTTCCGCAGGACCAGTCCCATTATGAGCCCCAGCAGATGGGGTCAATGTTGGGGTGTACCAACTCCTTTAAAGTCCTGGATGTAGGTCTGAGTCGTAACTGAGTTGACCAATCTGGGTGTCCACCAGGACCACTCCCCTCAAGGGAGGGTAAGGATTAGCTCTTGAGCACCTTGAGGGCCAGGTCTTCCAATTATATAGTGGCAGTAGTGAAGGGGAGCAGTTCTCCCAGAACCATTGAGGGTTGGGACCAGTTATCTGGTGCCAAGTTCACTGGGGTCAGCTCTCCTATGGCCCCTGGTGGTAACACAGGCCAAGGACATTAACACAGATGTCACAGCTGCAGTAGGGCCATGGACCCAAACAAGGCCCCAGGCATCATTCAGTTCAGCCCAGACAGCACCGTACCTCTGAGTGGCAGCACAGGCCATCCAGATTGGTATGACCCTGGAGGCAGCATAGTCCTTAGACATGGACATCAACATGACCTCAGGTGGTGGTCCAGACCTTGGGCATCTGTATGACCCTCGGCAGTAACAAGCCATGAACATCAACACAGCTCCTTCTGGGGTAGGGCCGTGGACCTAGAGATGGCCCTCCAGTGGACATCACACCACCCCACGTGGCAGCATAGACCATTCACATGAGCCTGTTTCTCACCGCTGTGGTATCTCAGTGTCTCTCCACCATGCATGAACTACTCTGCTTCTCCCTCTCCCATTTCTACACCATGTACCTGTCCATCATAGTGATGCCTGTCCAAACAGACCACGGGGTATGAAACTTATTCTTGCCCTTAAGTGTTTTTTAAAAATAAATGAGCTAGGGAGGTAGGGGAGGGGGATGAATATGATCAAAATAAATCGTATAAAATTCTCAGAGACTAAATAAAAACATTTTAAAAAATTAAAGCGTTACATCCATGCTACTACTCAGAGTTCATTACTAATAAACATGAAAAGCTGACTCTCTTACATGTACAACTTGTACAAAATGCTGTTAGTGTGATTTCAGTACAAGAAGACTTGCTAATTTTTTACTATTGACCTCAGCTATATTGTATTGAATCTCAGCATTTCCACTTTGCCTGCTCTTCCATCACCCCCTAAGTGGTCTGGAGTATCCAGAAGTGCCTCTGCAGATGCCTGGACATGTGCACTCAGATCACCGTCGAGGTGGACCAGGAACAGGAGCATCTTAAAACAAAACAGCTGCATCCCAGGTGCTAAAGACTCAGGTGCAATCTGATAGCAGTTATTAAACTCCTTTGAGCTTGTCCTGACTTTGATGATTTCCCTCTTCCTCTCCTTTCTCTAACTCCGACTTGATCTCGTAAAATCTCTCCAGTGTTTGTTTGGTTTTGTGCTAATGTTTTGGTTGTATTATTAATTTCAGGATTGTGGCTGGTTTCAGTCTTTTGCAGGGACTTTTCCCCCCTTTGTCTTTTCTTGTCTGGAGAAACTGTGAAGGGAGGGGAAAGTCCTGCTAAATTCTCCTCAGTGGACACGAAAGAAGCAATGTCCCTAGAATGGACCTAATTCAAAGGCCTTGCTCTCCAAAGCACTTCTGGGTAAATACCGGCAGTGACCTTTACATATTGGAATGGTTTCTACACACTCCGTATTACCAAGCTCCTTTCCCAACCCCTCTCACCCCACTGCCCACCATGGGAGTGAAAACGCTTCCTTTCTACACTCACAGATGCATCCCTGAGTAACATCCATAGGCCACTGATTTGGGAGAATAAGAACTTGACTGCACTGTTGAAATGATATTTTTTTCATGTGAAGAGCTTATAGACAAAGCAACCCAATAGGAAGAAATGCATCCCAAGAGCAGTCGTCTCTTGGAAGCCTGTTCTTTTCTGAAGAGGAAACAAAGGAGGATTGGATCTGGGGGAAAGAAGAAGTGGAGGGGGGAGCTGGGAGGAGTGAAGGGAAGGGATAGTATGGTTGGGAAGTATTGTATGAAAAAATAGTCTATTTTCAATTTTTTTTAAAAAAAATGAAAAACAGAATTTGTCTCAAAATTAAGATACGAGTTTAAGGAGCAGTTAAGATGCAGGTCAGCTGGAAGAGTACTTGCTGAAGCATGAAGAAAGCCCTCATTCCCATCAGCAGCGTGTGAAAGGGAACGCAGTGGCCGGACTCTAATCCAGTGCCCAGAAAGTAGAGGAAGGAAGGATCTGAACTCACAGCCATTCTTAGCTACCTAGGGAGCTCAAGGCCAGCGAAAGGGTTGGGAATGCAACTCAGTAGTGGAGCATTGCTTCGAAAGCACGAGGGCCAAGATTCGATCCCCAGAACCCAAAAAGAGAAACAAAGAGAAAGGAAAAAAGTGAAAATAAAATAGGACATAGTATACGTTAGGCTAACTGAAGCAGTTTTAGAAACTTCTAAGTCATCCTATTGGGGAAATTATTTAAATGAAATGCTCTCTAAATTGGCCTGAGGAGGTGGTGGCACAAGTCTTTAATCATAGGACTCAGGAGGCAGTGGCAAGCAGATCTCCGTGAGTTCAAGGCCAGCCTGGTCTACATGGTGGATTTCAGGGCAACCAAGGCTTTATAGAGACCCTGTCTCAAAAAAAAAAAAAAAAGAAAGAAAGAAAGAAAGAAAGAAAGAAAGAAAGAAAGAAAAGAAAAGAAAAGAAAAGAAAAAGAAAGAAAGGAGAAAAAAGAGAGACCCTCTAAATTAATACATCTTTATTCTGCCATTGTGTTGAATGGAATCTTTTCTCATAAGCTGTCTCTTAACGATTATCCACAGTGCTAAAATGAAGCCGACCTAACAGTCACCCAAGTCACCGGCACTTTTTCCAGCTCCCGATGGCCACCTGGGATTCATCTCAGTTCTCTGATTCTGTTTCAAATCAGCTGCTCAAAGATACTACTGCTGTCAGCAGGCCTTCTGATTTATTTAATCCTTCCCCAAAGCAGGTTCTGAAATTCTCACACTTTAACCCCTACTTGTTAAGCCAGCAGCTCCCTGCGCGGGTAGGTGTCTGCAGAGGGTTCCATGGCACCACAACAGCCTGGAGAGGGGAGATCCACCGTTTTGCCCTGCTGGCGTACTTGATCCCCTCCACACACCATCAACAAAGTCTTCAACGTGCTTCCCACTACTCCGCTCGGAACATAGGAACAAGCAGGCACACTGCAAATTAGTTGGAACTCAATATACGCTTCTACTTCACATCTGAACAATGCTCTCGTTTTGCTGCTTTAATCAGCAATGAGAACACCTGTTCTAACTCACCATGGCCCACTGCTGCAGTACCAACACCAGGAGGCTGAGGCGGAAGGATGGCAAGCTCCTGGCCAGCCTGAGATACGTAGTGAGTGAGACACTTTTTCACAAGAAAAAGAAAAACACTTACTGGATTTTTTTAAAAAAAAAAACAGTTTTAATACATTGTGTGCTCGGCTGGATAGGTGCCTGCAGCGGGTGCCACAGCGAACATGCGACCGTCTAAGGACAACCTTTCTGGAATCGGTTTTGTAGGCTCCAGGGACCAGCAACCTCAGCAGCAAGCGCTCTCTCCGACCAGATCAGTGCACCATGGGAACATAGATCCAAAATAGAATAAAAGAAGGAAATCTAATAAGTCAGAAATAGATAAGAATAACAAAAAACATTTAGAAATAGATTATGACAGAAGAGCCTAATGCAGTCTAGTTTCGTCTTCTAATGTATATAACCCGATCGGCTAATCGATTTTATGTTCTATGCAAAGCAGAGGTCCTGTCACAGCAGTAGCATCTTGTCTTTCCCTGGGTCTTGATTATTACAATCCTCAATAAATATCAGAGAGACATAAAATCACATGAGTTTGAAAAATGATCTAAGACTTTCTTAAGAATATAAACCTTGGTACTGGAGAGATGGCTCAGTGGTTAAGAGCACCGGTTGTTCTTCCAGAGGTCCTGAGTAATTCCCAGCAACCACATAGTACTTCACCACCACCTGTCATAAGATCTGGTGCCAACTTCTGGCCTGCAGGGATGCATGAGGGCAGAACATTGTGTACCTGTTAAATAAATAAATCTTTTAAAAATTAGAAATCTCATGATTGATTCACAATCCCATCTCTCCCCTAGTGTGGGTTCAGTTCTAGAAAGTATGGAATTGACCTCCTAGAAGATCCCCTGACCTTTTACTAGGCTTTGTGTGGTCATTTTAAGTTCTTGTGCAGTGGTAAAGAAAACCATAGAGATCCTTTTCTCCTTTACCGAGTTTCTCCAGTGCTGTCTTACGATATCACAGCTAGGATACTGAAAATTACACAGGTAGGTCTGCACTGTGTCCTTTGTGACGAGGATCCTTTCATTGTTCTTCTGCAGCCACACCCACTTCCCTTTCGCCTCCACTCTTCTTCGACGCTTGGTAAACACTAATCTTTCATCTGTTTCTCAAATTTTGTTATTTTAATATTATTACATAAATCTGTGTGGGGGAGATGGATCAGTGGTTAAAATGTGTGACTCACAAGCATGAGGAGTCAGACCCTCAGAACCCCCATAAATGACCCCCAGACTAAACTGGCTAGCAAGCCTAGCCACATCCAATAGCTCTGAGTTTGGCTAAGAGACCCTGACACAAAGCATGTGGTAGAAGAACAACCAAGGATGGTTCCTGACATCAACCACATACAAGTGCACAACAATGTACATTAACTTACACATCCATGCCACACTCAAATGAAAATGGAGAAAGAAGGAAGAATATTAAGTGGAACTTTGGGGCTTTTTTCACCCAGTCTAATTCTCTAAAGGTTCAGGTTTTGTACCTATCAATGATTTGCCACCTCTAATTGTTAAGTGGTATCTCATGGTATGACCCCATCATGCCTGATAGTTACTTAAGTGTCAGTAGAATGGCTAATAGTTTCTTTGCCCACTGAAGGACATCTGGGTGGTTTCCAGTTGCTGGCTATTGAGAATAAGGCTGCTATAAACATTCTGAATGATCTTAAGTATTTATTTATCTGGGATAAATGCTCAGAAGCATAACGTGAGTCCTGTAGTTGTCCATGTTTAGTTTTTTTAGAAACCACTGAACTAAACTATCTTCCAGAGGTAGCTTCATACTGAAGCTTCATAGCTTCAATCCCCGCTAGCATTGTATGGGCAATCCAGATTCTTTACATATTTGCTAATGCTCAGTATTGTTGTGGTTAATTTTTAGCCAAACCTAGAAATAGAATTTGGGGCAAAACTTTGCAAGAAGGGTTTAATATTAAGTTTGCCGTGTTCTGTTAACAGGAATTAGGCATGCATTTTTAACGTCAGCTCCCTTTATGTCAAACTCCACAAGCTAATAACAATGCATTTGGGCAAATTACTCAACAACTCTGAGCCCCAATTTCTCTGTATGACATCTGCTGCTCCATGCCAAGAACTATGTTAAAAGGATAATCGTGTAAAGAATGGGGGATATAATATGCGCTCAACAAGTGTGAATTCCTTTCCTCTACAGTTTGAGAGTGTGTTGTTTTGGCTCTGTTCTAGAGATTGAACCCAGAGTCTCATGCACACTCAACAAAGGCTACACCATTGACCTAACACTCTTCCGTATTTGAAGATATGAGGTGCATTCTTTTAGTTCATTCCCAGCATCTCTGGGAATCACCAGTTCCTTACAGTTTGATTGCTTTTTCTCCCTTCAGCTCAGCTGTTATTTTAAAAAAAAAAAATTAACAACACAAAACAGAATGGAATTATTTTCAAACTTTTTAACTCAGATTGTCTACTTACCGACTGTAAGGACTCAGGGGATTGCTCGGCATCTCAGGCAACACTAACGATGGCTGGTCTCCAACTCTGTCTTTGGAATAGATAGGATCTGACCTGCCTTAGAGAGTAAGAGATGGAGAGGGGAAATGAGAAATTGTGTGAATACTCCGTAAACATAAAAAAGAATGGTACCACCATGTGGAAATAGAAAAAGGCAAGAAACAGAAATTATATCCAGTGTACCTAAAGGTCTTGCTCACTCTGCCAGAGAACTTCAAGTTAGAGAAACAACAGGAAACATAATGACTGCTGAATATAGCATAATAGTGAACAAAGCAAGAAATACCATAACTATATTAGATAGTCCACTTGCATTTGCTTTACTACCACACTACTATTAAATATAGCCATGGCCACTAACATCCTCAGTGGGTCCTGTGTCGGCAGATGCTCTGGGCACGTAAGGTCTCACTTGAAAAGGGATGACCCCAAGACGGGCTACCAGTGGCTTCTTAAGAGCAGAGAGTGGGTGTGTTATCATCTGTCTGCCTCCATTATGTAGAAGGAGATTATACAATCCAAACTTTCATCATGAACAAAGGGCTTAAAGGATTCCTTCATGATGCTCCCCTGTAATACCGTGCAAAGAATGTGGGCAGAAACCATCTACAAAGGTTGGCAGAAGACTGCCACCTCCCAGTTAAGAGCTAAAGTCGGCCACAAGACAAGGCAGCAGCTCATCATCTCAGTCTAGCCATGTATTAAACAGACAAGACTGAAATTCACCCTAAAATACTTGTCTATTACCTGATTCTTCTCTATCTTAGTCCCTGTTTATTTTCTCCCTTTTTTTTTCTTTTTCTTTTTTTCGTTTTTGAGACAGGGTTTGTAGCTTTGGAGCCTGTCCTGGAACTAGCTCTTGTTGACCAGGCTGTCCTCGAACTGACAGAGATCTGCTGCTTTTGCCTCTCGAGTGCTGGGATAGAAGGCGTGAGCCACCACTGTCCGGCTCCTTTTTATTTTTGCATTGGGTTTATTATATATACTATATATTCATAAAATAGTGTAGTTATTTTTTCAAAAGAATATGCATAAAATTTATTATTGCAAAGATTTGAAAGAAAATAAATAAATAAGAAAAACATTCCCTGGAGCATTTTATTTTCTTAATGTGTTATTTTCCCCAGTTAGACCTTCATGTTAGGCACCAATAAAGCATTATAAGCTGGGCGGTGGTGGCGCACGCCTTTAATCCCAGCACTCAGGAGGCAGAGGCAGGCAGATCTCTGTGAGTTTGAGGCCAGCCTGGTCTAGAAGAGCTAGTTCCAGGACAGGAACCAAAAAGCTACAGAGAAACCCTGTCTTGAAAATAAAAAATAAATAAATAAATAAAAATAAAAAATAATAATAGAGCATTATAACACTGTTGAAGATAACACAAGGGTAGATTTCACAAGACCATCTATCTCCCTGTATCATCTCTTTCTTTCCCCCTTGTTAGAGACTACATCACCAGTCATATATGCTGGCCTTGAACTCATGTGGACCCTCTGGACTCAGCTTTATGAGTTGCTGGGATTGTAAGCATGCTCCATTACACCCAGTTGCTTTGTCTTTCTTGAACCTCTGAAGACACAAGAAACTATATTTCCTCCTCCCAGCTTGGGGGCTGGAAACCAAAGCAGGCCCCTCACAGAGAGCCTGTGAGGTTTGGGAACCACCCGCATCCTCATGCTCTATGACCGTCAGGAAAGGAGCCCTGGGAAGCCACTCATTGTAGAGTCAAGCCAAGGAAAATGGCTGATGTTTATTAAGCACTTAGCATATATATATACACATACCAGACCTCCAAAGAACTTCATCTGTGTTGTCACACTAATGTTCCTCATATAATGACTGAAATTCTTATCTGTGTTTTACAGATGGACACACTGAGGCAGACAATGGCTACCCCACAGTTGATGGCTGTTCTCAGGGTTCACACTATCCATAATAATAACCTATTCCCTGGACCCCGCTCTTAATCACAGTGTTCTACAGCACTGTGCTTGACATGTATAGCAAAAGCCTCACCAGGAATCGCTGAGATTTGTCTTTTAACAACAAAATGGATGTTTTAAGATAGGTTGCAGCCCAATTGTGATTTTGTTTCTCCCTGGGATCAAAATAATTGTCAGAATACATCACCGACCTTGACCTAAATATCAAAAGTAAATTGTAATCATATTTTCGTGAATTATTCTCACAAACAGATTTTGGGGAAAAAATAGCATCTTATCAATTCTTGAAACAAATGTTTTAAGTCCCTTCTAACACTAAGTGGAGCAAAGATAACGACATAAGAGAGTATATACAGCTTCTTATTTCTTCCACAATTTAAACTATTACGCTCTAGAAAGAGACAGTATATGACTCAGTTACTTCCAAGTATCAGAGGTATTGATGGGGGGAAACTTAAGACAGAAGAGCTGTGAAAACTTGTCAATCTTTAGTCGTCAATGCAGCTAAATTGGTGCCTTGTGATAGTAAGATGTCTAAGCAGAGAAAAGCCCAGGGAGTTGGAACATCCATCCCTTCCTCGTTCTGGAACTTTCTAGCTAAAATACAAGTAGAAGTGTGGGGGTAGGAAAAGAATTGGAAATGTCTGATGTCTGTGGAGAAGCACTTCTGAGGGAAGGTTCCTACCATGATTATATGTTCTTAGCCGTGCAAATGAAGGACTCGGGTTTCCCTCCTTCGATGCCCCCATTATAAATACCAAAGTCGTGATTTTAAATGCAGTCTAATTTACAAAGCCCAATCAACACCAGACAGACTTAAATGTTGCTTTGTTACTGGGACTATTTTCAGCTTTGATACCCCTCACAGCTATCTTGGCCCGTAGAAGTGGCATTAGACGAAATGTTAACAATCGTTACATCTAAAAAGAAAAAAATCAACAGCAAAACAACTAAGCAATTCAGTAGTCCAAGATGATGCATAAATTTTGTAATAAAGCAAAAATACTTACTTGATTAGATTCTGTAATGTGATTACTGACATCATCTTGACTTGAATAACACAAGATGCATAGAACCTAACAATGTTTGAGAGAGTAGAACGAATTACGAGGAATGTAAGAAGACAGCTTCCTTATTTATTTGTCCCTGATTAATAACAATTAAACGGCCGGCTTTCTTCCAGATAAAACTTTGTCACATTTTGCTCAGCAATTAGGAATTTATAGGAATCTTCTCACAGATATATTTTTAATCGGTACTTTATAACATGTAACGTACCGTGTATTGGGCAAGAAAGGATGGTGGTAGCCTACTTTAAAGGTCTATATTTCAACATAACGTGTAAAATCACAGTAAGCTAGCATTTGCATATATACAAGAATTTGCATGTATTTCCTTGATTGGATTTCTTCATCTACTGGGGGTGGACAATTTTAAAAACCACTGAATTGAAGAAAACAATAATCTTGGATTTACTCCTGTTTATGAACAAAAACATCTCATTCAAGCAAAATCTCTTTTTCATGTCTTACTTTTCTGTATCCTCCGGTCTTGTCTATTCTGCACAGCATTAAGCCATCACTTCAAAACTGTAGCTGAGAGAGCACTTGCTTATTTTTTCTGATTTCACATTTAACAGAATTTTTGTTTTTAGATGGATCACAAGCTATCTCTTGGGGGGAAGATGTTCTGATAGCTTCTGCAAAGGGTGAGCAGTCTGTCCAGTGGACTGTCTGTCTGTCACTCAGCAGGAATGAAGAATCCTGTTACCTACAAAAGTATTAGGAACGTGCGCCCAGCTGAAAGCATTTACCCAATTCCAATTGTTCGAAAGTCGAAAATACTAAGAAAGATACTGTTCCAGGAGCTACTGTTTAAAACAATGCAATCCCTGTTCAGAGTGAAATCTCAGTATTTAGAAATCTGAGTTAGTTTTTAAAATAATAACTGTATATCCAAAAAGGAATTCCAAAGAAGCATTCTTATGCCAAACACGTGTTTTTAATTTTAATAGCATTGGCTTACTTAATATGTAGACCCTAATAATTGTGCCTTACATGTTGATAGTTTTGAATATTATTTTTGGTTTAGTTTGCAAAAAGATTGCTGAACAATAATGTAGAAAATGCAGTATCTGACAGCATCAAATTGCTGTGGTTTATTGGAATTGCAAAATACTGTGGTTTAAAAAAATAGTTCTGTTGAAAACTAATAATTGAAAACTGCCCTGATTTTAAAGGAAATTAAGATAGCCATATCCTTATAGGATAATGTCAAATAGAAAGAAATCATGTTCCCATACAATCGTGTTTGTTGGCATTTATATGAGAATCATAATGCCTTGCAGTTATTTTCATAGTTGTTCACTTAAAGTGGGATTAACTTCAACATCTTCCTAATTATCTGAGATCACCCCATTGAAAGTGGTATGGTAAAAACATGTTAATGGTTACGACACTCTCACCATCTTAATACCAAACAGATTAACACACATGGAAGTAATGGTATAATTTGGACATGGGGTAATATGCCAGACCAATCTTATGGTGAAAAGAGAATTCTTATAAAATGGCACCCTTTCCAACTACTGCTTCCTATTCCTTGGGATATTACAGCGATCGGCTGCCTGGATACTGATGTAGGGAACGTGCATGGGTACACGTGCCTCTGAGGATTCAGATGCAGCAGTTCTTCCCTTTTGCTACTCCAGAATTTACGAAGGTATCAGTCCTAAGATTTGCTTTAGTTAAGACTGAGAGCCACAGTAGAAGATGAACTCTAACTAGGATCATAAACTGAAAAGGGGGGGGGGGAAACGTTTTTAATTGTGGGGGGAAAAAAAGATTGGTTATTGACCATAGTGACCATGAATTAAGTTTATGACCAACGAACAAAAACGGACTGCATCTTACACATTCTTAAATAATATAGTTTCTGTCAGTATGGACTCCAGAGTGTCAGACAAGTATTCTCTTCCTCAGCTTCCCCTGCTGGGAAAGCCGAATGGAAGGAAAATAGCCATCTGTCTGCAAAGTGACGTGAAGCCGTAGCTCCTCCAGTCACGCCCATCTTTCTTGAATCCACAGAAAAGGCAAACTGCATCCAAGACTGTGCTATTTAATAATCCTTGTTGCACATGATAAACATCAGAATGGAGCATCAAATCTCGGGTGCAGGTGTCTCCCTGTCAGGTCAGGGATGGAAGTATGGGACAGCGCCTTCCAGTTCCAGCCGGCCTCGAAAAGGGGGCGTGCAGAGACTTAAATCATGTTGTTTCCACTTATGCAGGGAGAATCCATAAAAAGAGATTTATTATTGTATTTTCTGTTTGAAACGTAATATTTGCTATTTTTCTCCTCCAAAAGTGCTCCTCAGTATAGAGCAGAGTAAATATTACAATTTCGTTAAACAGCAGCCAAGATTTAATTGTCTGTGAAATATAAGGCTTAGGAACTGACTTAACTACTGTTCTGCTGACACAAACGAGGCTCCCAGCACCAAGGGAAGGCTACCCCAGAAAGAAAGAAAAGTGAGCTAGACTCCCCCAACCACATGTGTGGAAAAGCCTGTCCTAGGACAGGAGTTTGGTTCTTCCGGCAGATTTAAAGTAACTGTGTACAAAAAGTCAAGCAGAAACAGCTATGGCAAAGACAGCAAAACATGCTAACAGTTTACCAGCAAGGAAGCCGAGAGAAATCCAGAACCACTAGCCCGTACTGTAGAAAAGTTAGGAGAGAAGGGGAGAGAAGCTGGGGACAGAAAGGAAGCTGAAGACACAGCCCTGGCTTCCGTGTGTGGATTCTACGTTTTATTATTGTCGCATATATTTCGGTGGCTCAACCAGGAACCTGGAAAGTCACGGTTTACCCCCACTCTGCGCGCCCTTTGCACAGGGGTCTAGGCTAGGGCTCGGGCAAGCCCTAGCTGGATCACCCCTGTTCGCGCCGCCCCCGCCTCTCCCAACAGTGGCTCCCGGGTCGCTTCCTCCAACCACTCGGGGTGCAGAGAAGTCAGCTGGACCGCAGCGAATTTGCCCCGGTGGCACCAGAGGCACAAGCCCAAGCCCGTAATTGCAAAGCAAACAAGGTTGAAATGTTGGATTCGCCTCCATCGTGACAAGATCTACGCTTTTGCCGCCAATTTGTTTGTGCAGCTCTATTTCAGGGCACTTGATTGAGGAAATGTTGAAAATAGCGGTGAGGGTTTCCCTAATGAGACCGGGTTGGGGGGAGGTAGGGGGAGCGGTGGCCTTCCCTCGGCACCAGGGGCTCTGAGGTGAGCAAGAGAGGCAGCGCGGTTAACCCCTTCCTGCCCGCATTGGGCGAAAAGTTCTCGGAGACGCCTCGGGGAAGGTGCTGGCCCACGGTTCCCAGCAGCGACCTCTCCTAACCTGAACGTTGTGAATTCGTCTCCCCTTACCCTCCCCAGAGAGGGACTTTGAGATCGACCCAGAATTTGGCTAGAATGGATGGGGAAAGAACCCAGGACTCAGTTCAGGCCTGTACCCCAGGAGGTCAATAAGTCGGTGGTAGCCCCCGCCGCCCCAGGTTCCCCTGCCCCGGGGCCGCGGCAGGTCCTTGAGCGGTGAGAACAGCAGCGATCTCCCAAGAAACCAGGTTTTGTGCTGCTGGAGACCAACGAGGCAGGATGCAGCGAGTGGACAGACCAGACGCCCTGAGTTAGGCCGCACCGGAAGGGCGCACTTGGCCCGCTGACGCCCAAGGCTGTCGCGCTGGATTTGGGGGGCAGCTAGATCCAGAGGGGAATTTAAAATAAAAATAAATAAATAAAAATTAGAAAAAAAATAAAGTAAACGAAGGGGCGGAAGAAAATAGGTGAATGATTACTGAGCGCAGCCTGATATCAAACAACACTCTTGAGGGCGCCTTGATCTTTTTAATCTCGCTCACAACCCCCGGGTCTGTTTCATTTCCACCACTGTTTCAATGAAGTGAGAAGCTAAGGTACTAACCGAGGTGGTGGAGTGTGAAGGCCGCCTTGGCTACCTCCAACTCTTGAGTTTGGGGTACTTGGAATGGGTACCAGAGAAGCCGAGCCAAGTTGGCCCTGCTGCCTGCAAGCCGGACTGATCTGGAAGACACTTTCCCCAGTGCCCCCAAAGGCTTGAGATTGAAGGTCTTGTTCCTTCATAAATGGCTTCCAAGTCGCTTACCGGCTCTAATAGCCTTCAACGTAAAATAAAACAACCTGATTGCAATTAGAACGTCCGGGTTTCCCTAAATCGCCTGCCCACCAGTTGTTGGGGCATCTTTTTGTGCAAAGCATTAGTTGCGGTTTTTTTTTTTTTTTTCAAGGATAGGAGAAGTGAACACTGTGTGCACAGAGAACAGCAAGGGTGTATGCGCTTCCCCACCAGAAAGAAGTTCAGAGAAGGGGACTGGGGGGCTTGACTTGGGTGCGGAAGGAAAATCTGTAATCAGAAGGCCTCCTGCTGTGTTGGAAGAACTCTGGAAGGACTTAGAGGCAATGGTCAAGTGGGGTTTCTTTGCTTGCTTGGGAAGGTGGGCCTTTTGTCAAAGAGGTTGGCGAGTCAAAAGGTGCCAGACCCACACTTGGCAACGACGTGAGCGTCTGTCTACCGCCAGCATACATCTCACACTCTCCTTGTAACTCGGAGAATGTCAGGCTGAACCAGTCCTGAGCCAAAATTCCATCCTGGTGTTAGATTGAAAACCGGGTTGGAATTTGGTAGTTTGGGAAGTTGGGAGTCTTCGACCAGCTTTGTAGCCTCTCTCGAAGGGAACTGTGAAGGGCAGAGACAGTAAGATGACACTAGGGGCGCTCTCACCAGAGAACCTGCCGGCTTGAGCCCTTGAGTGTCTGCTCTTTTCCCTGGGGTCTAATCTGAGCTGTACCTTGGCCAATCTGAAGTTTCTTTCTGAAGTCACACTCTTCTGTAGATGGCAAGAGGGAAAACCCCAGGAAGTGAAGAAGGCTGGTTTCGTTGTTCTTGCTCGAGAATGCCTTCTGTCAGCAAAATAAAAAAATTAAAATAAAAAAAAGCACCAGTCACACGGGCTTCCTGAAGTATCCAAATGCATTCTCAACGGAATTCTGCTTTTCCTGTATGCAAATAACGGCCTCGTTTGAAGTTGGATGCTTTGCAAGAAAAATGCAGTTCCACTTTTTCATTCCTTGAGTTTGGGGCCTGTGTTGACTTAAATGGGCACTCACACAAGTATGAAAAAAAAAGAGAAAAGAAAACCATTCTCTTTGGAAAAATGGAACAAAGTAGCGCTTCTCCAATCAGAGTGCAGATACATAAATCGGTAACAACAAATTTGCCTCCTAGTGCTGCGCATTTCCAGCAAGCATCCTGACTTCTCTGTTTATATTATGACTTTGCTGCCTGCAATTATTTTTATTTTAATTTTCTGTCACTTTAACAGAAACCAGACCCTTTCCTTTTAATGTTTTGTACACAACATGTTCATTTTGATAAGATGTTCTTTCCTATCCTCTTTTGGTTTGCCTTTCCTTGTTTAGAGTTCTATATCAGAAGTTTCTAATATTTCTGCCTCTTTTTTTTAAGAATTTGTCCCTGTCTTGCTTTATTTGTTTGTGTGAAATTTAGTTTGAAAGGAGATCAGAGAGAGCAGGAGGGGTTTGTAATAAGAGAATGACCGAATGACCTAAAGGCTGATTATCTATCATTAACTGGAGACTCGGTGTACCCAAATTACCAGGAAGACCTCAGTCTGCCGGATCCTTACCCGGCCAGAAAGGCAACCGTGGAATGCACACACTGAAAAAGACCCATGACATTGCAAGTGAGGACATTGCTTAAACATAGTTTTCTTGGAGGAATTCTCCTTCAAAACTCAGCTCGAGCTGAAGGAATAAATCACTAAGTCATAATATGTCATGTACAGGTAAAAAAAATCGGTACTCAAATACTAACTTTCGAGTTTTTTGCAACTGACTTTCTCGTATTGTTTCATTAGAACCAAAATTGCAGGTAATTGTCTAAGCGCCAGAGAATACTGAAAAATCAAGACAAGCTGCTTTTGATCTGCTCAACCCCGGGCTTGTAAAAATCGAAGTTTGCCATTAATATTGACAATAAAAGTGTTTCTTTTTGTTAACCTGAAACCTAACCATCCTGGCTCAAGTCCCTTCCTTGTCTATAAGCAAAGACTGCAGAAGAATGCAGAAAGAACTTGTAAGGAGCTGTCAGAGCTAAAGCAATCCATCTATGTGCTTCTGCAAGTGAAGCCACATTGTGGAGACTTCCCTCAAGTGCCCCCAGTATGGCACTTAGGACTGGGAAGAAACAGGACTCGGGTCATAAGTAAATTCTCCAGCTCCACAAATGATGCATCAGAAGCCCCACGTGTTACACAGCCATTTCATTCCTATTTTATTCTGGACCCCAGACTGGATGGCATGCTAGCTTAAATCCATTGCTGGCGAGTTCAGAGAGTGGGAATGCAAAATCACATTCACATTCTCATCAGAATCCTAAATGGTTTCTTTACAGCTCAGAGGGAACAAAAAGAATTCTTTTTATCTTTCATTTTTATTTTATTATCCTGTTGTTTTTATTGTGTTTCTTTTTTTATTTGTTAAGTGCTGGGAGTGTAAGCCAGGGTCTACTTCTCAAATATTTATCCAGCCCTGAAATATTTCTATGTGTATGCAGTTCTTAGAGTATGTTGTATAAATCCTGATGGATGTATTGTCTTGTAACACTTTTATTCTAAGCCCAGGATTTTACTACAAAGCGGCAAAGGTCAGATTTATCATACTTCTTGAGACTACTATAACAACTCGTAGGTTAAATATAATATTATTATATGTAATACTATCTTTTGCAATGCCTATTCACAGCACGTTTTATGTTGCCTTGAACCTGAATGAGTTATTTTTAATTTACAGATACCTGTCAAAGTACCAAATCCTTCTTCATCAATGAGAACTCTCCTCAGTAGCAATCATCTCATTAATGCAAGAACGCAGTCATGGGTTATTGAAGAAAATGGAAGATCTACTCCCGGTCATAATGGACAGTAGGATTTTCCATAGAGAACTTAAGGATAAACTAGTGCCTCGTTTTTTCCAGGAGTCTCAGGTTCAGTGACAAGGGCACGTAATGTATAAGCCCCAACACTTCTGCTGCGGAGGGGGGTAAGTTATGGGAGAAGAAAGAGAAGGAAATAGGAGGAGGAAGGAGAAGAAAAAAATAAGGGGAGAAATGTCTAGGCACTTAGCAAGTCCTGGCTAGGCACACTTGAACTAAAGAGTTCATTTTTTTTTTTTAAATCAACCTCTCCATAGTCATCCCTGCCTTTGAACCAGCCCCTCCCTCCTCCATCTGCAACAGATCTGTTTTGAATGGAGAACTAAGAGGAAGAGGGTCTACTCCCCAAATGCCCCACCCTCCCCAAAAATTCAAGAAGAAATTGTTCTGAAGAAACGAAAGCCACATAAGAGTCAAGGGCACCTTCTCCTGCCCTTTGCTTTTTTGAAGCAGACTTAAGAGTTCAAACGCCAGGATTCCCTACTTTGTGGTTGCCTACTTTGAAACATTGTTGCCATGCCTGTATACAACCACCACAAAAGGAAAAGACAAAAGCCCTATCAGAGGGCGACCTTTGCTGCCACTCAGCTGGGAGGCCTTGTTCTGGATGTCCTAAAACACGGAGGAACTAAGTGGCTAACAACTAATGTGACAGAGTGCCCCCCAATAGAAAAAAGGCCTGCAGGGCAATGAGAGTGTATAAGAAACAGTGTCTTTGGAGCAGGTGAGGCAGAGCTTGCATCTTCAAGAAGATTCCTTTTCCTGACACCTTCTCTGGACTTGGTACTCCTTTTGGGGTTCTTAGCCTGTTCTGGAGTTCACCGTGTTATAGATAGTTAAAGGAATATTCATGATCAATTCTCTGCTACTTTCATTAGGAAAGGAAGGTAAGAAGAGGTCTGAAAGATGATGAAGGGAATTGAGCCATAATTCCTGTAAATATAAAATGTGTGTTTATGACCTTCTGGCCTGGTTCTTCTCAGAGCCAGTTTATTTTGAGTATTCCTGAGCAAAGCACAAGATACAAAACTGTCCTTGCCTTTGAAATAATAAATACCTCGAAAAGATCTGAATTTCCCCTAAAAAGAGACTGAAGTTTAAAAAAATATTTGGCTTAAACAGAGCTTAAAAGAAATATCTCACCGGGGCAAAATGCTTGCAAGGGGGGGGGGTCCCCAGCCTTTTGCTTGCTCTTTGATTTCTTTTTCAGAGAAGGAAAGTGCTAGCAAAAGAAAAGAGACACGTGACATAGGCGCAAAACAAATGTTTGCAACCAGCCCTGCTTGTTTGGCTGAAAGAAGAAGTACTGTGAACCACTTTGGATACACTATCAGCGGCAGGGAAGTCTATGGACAAGGAATCTCCACCACTACCCTGGACCTGGGCTGCCTTCCTGTGATGATGTACAGACCCAGGACCGCTCAGCCCTAAGTCTCCCAGGAGACAGATGACCCTCTGTAAGGTTCCTCCTGGGCACCCAGAATGGCCCACAGCCACCATCATCACAGTTCCCTGGTCTTTGGGCATTCGAAATGTGTACCCTGAGGGAGTAGTTCTCCAGAGGCCTTAATAGTACAGCCCAAGAGTGAAGGAGCAGGCTGATATCTAAGCTGGCAACTCTACACCTGCCTTCTCAGCCCACCTTCTCCCTGGTCACCAGTGCCAGCTTCTCCACCACATCAATCTGTTACTTATCTCAGGACCACCCCTGCGTGGTAGTAGGCCACATAAAATGGGGACAAACTTAACACAGCATCTTAGCTTGGTAGTTTTGCAAAGCAGCAAGCTAACCCCGCATCCTAAGCTTCCTGAGTAAAACGGGTCCAAAGATGCTAAAATGAAAAGGCGAACAGACCTATTAAGGACACCACTCAGTTAGAGCCAGCCAGCTACTACGAGGGAGAAACCACCAAAACTTACCCATTTGTCCCCTCTCTCCAGCTCCCTCCAGACTGCCTTTCTGACGCTCTTGTCTCTGCATGCGGGTTTCTGAGATACACGAAGCTTCAGCCCCCTGGTTTGTAGCTTAGCCGATAATGGTGCTGTCGGTGCAGAAAGATGGTCAGATTAGCCTCTTTTATGGCCCCTTTTCTGCCCCCATGCTATCCACTTCTTTTATCACTTGTGAGGATGCTATCTGGAGCCAGGCTTCTTGTTGTTATTGGTTTGAATTTAAAAAGCATGAAGGGGGGCTAAAAGTAGCAAGTTCTGATCCCTAGATTCCAGGGCCACTGGGAGACAGACAGCTTATCCATCCTTAGCCCTATCTTTCTCTGGATTCTTCTTCTATCTCCCAAGCCTCTAAAAGTCGCTTTCCTAAGGCAGCCAACAAACTCACTTGCTTAATTTTTTCTTTTATCCTTGCTGGCCACGGCATAATCATCTTACTTGGTCTACCTGCTCTTAAGGCCTACATGTTTTTATAAACAGACTTTTTTTTAAAGTGTATCACATGTCAGAGGATTGAACTCCTAGTATTTACTGGTTCAGGGTACCCTCCTGGTGAAAATGTAAACAGAATCCGCCACCACACTACCCCTATTCTTTCCTTGAAGAAATGGTTCTCTTGAAAACTCTCACTGTACCCCCCCCCCAACTACAGACCCACCCAAGTTGGGTCATTATTTTATCCTGCTACCAAACACAATCCTCTGGGCTGGTTAGCAAGACGGGTTCTAGCTATTTCCCATCCAGGATTTGTTCTCTGTCTTAGGACACTGCTGGGAGCTGAAAAGGAAAACTGGCCCTATGGACAGAAGATAGGCCCCAGTCTCTGAGTTCTCTCCTTCTCTGCCACCTCGCTCCATATATTCATATTTTAAAACTCTCAGTGAGACTACCACAATGCAGTAGCCAGCAGGATCTCAGTCGGGGAGCCCATGGGAGCAACCAGTTGGGCCCTCTCCAATTCCTGTCAACCTGGCCTTCCAGACCGAACCATAGCCAGCCAGGGGCATGAAAAGGACTGCCCATGCGGAATCCTTAGGCTGGGTTCTCTTTGATGACTGGAACCAGACTGCCCCTGCTTCCAAAGAACGATGCCCAAGTTGGAGTCACTGGTGTGCCTTCTGCCTGGCTACTTAGTTCTCACGGCCGGCCAGCCCTAAACTTGATCGAAATTACAGCCTACGGGCATCTGCTGCACACCCTGTTGCACACCGACCTCCGTCAGGCGAGTGAGCGGAAGGAATCTTCACACAGGCTTGGCCTCTCCAGGCATCCGAGGCCAAGGCCACAGGGTGATTTCAGCTTCTTCCACTGACCGCCTCCACCCGTGCTGCTGGGGGTCTGCCTGGGTGCCCCGCGGCCGGCTCACTTACAAGTATAGAGATCCATTTTCCGTTCTAATGTGTTCAAGATCGCCAAGGCAAGCAGTCTAAACATCCACGAGCCTTCCTCCCTGCCTGCCTCTTAAACAGCCGTTTAATGGCTCCCCTCCGATAACTAAACCAGGTTTCCACAGATGCCCGCTTTTATGGGGGAGGCAGGAATGCAGAGATATATTTATATGTTTGTTCATAAAAGCTAGAAAATAAGCTTCGAACACGCTGTAAAAACTATTCAGTTACTTACCAAACAGGCTAGTTAAACCAGCGGAACACGGGTACTCGCCACACCACAGATTCGAGAAATCGAGGTGCCCCACTCTGAAAACCTCCAAAGTCTGTCTTGGGGTTGCTGCACCAGAAGAGTATGCAAATGAGTGCATCTACAAACCAAAGTTCCCAGCCACCATCTCTGCAAATTGTCACTAGAACCCGAGTCATCCAAATCAATTCCTAAACAAAAGAGCCACTGAAACTTTTCCAGCATCTGCGGGGTCAAAAGAGCGCTGGGTACCAGCCTGGTCAAAGAGAGTCGGCTGCTCCCAACTGCACCTTAATGGGGATCCGTACCGCCGCCACCAGACTCTTGTCGCCACCACACCGCCCCCCCCCCATCACTTCAGCGGCACAAAACTACAGGAAGCTGCCTGCTCGGTTTTGTGCCTCAGTTACCTACCTCCTCCCCCCCAAAAAAATACTTGACAAATGCATTATCTGCGTTCCTTCTTCCCTTCACCCCAACCCCCGTAACCAGAAAAGAAAGTGAAATAACACTGTACCTGGTTTGAGATTCTTCAATATTGGGGGGGGGGGGTTAATAGTGAAGCATCTGTTAAACACTTGAATTAACCTATGGCTGATAAAAAGTTTTTTTTAACCCTGCCCCCCCCGTTTTAATTATCTTAAAGTTAAGAGTGGACAGCCAATCCTAGAAGAGGACCTCAGCAATTAGCAACGTGAACATCAAAAAGTTTTATTGCGGAGTGTGCGAGGCGCCGCCCCCGCCGCCCCGGGATTGGCGTGAGGAGCCTCTGACGACATATATTAACCCGAGCGGCCCTAAAGATGTAGCTGTACATGGAGATCTTGCTGGGAAAATCGGCTTCCTCCCTTCATCGAGTCCAGCCCAGAAGAACCGCCGCCGCCACCCGGGAGCTCCTACAGCCACTGTGCACACCCCTCCGAGAGCCCAGTCGCCGCTTCTCAGCTCCAAGGCGCCTTCGGGGGCCCCAAATTCCTGTCGCGAGAGGAGAGGATCTTAGAAAATGGATGCGCTGAGACCTCTCTGCAAAGCCTCCGAGAGAGCCTGAGAGGAGCGAGGACAGACACGTTACTCGCAGCTTTTAAAAACAAATCACACTCAAGGACCAAAACAACCAAAAAATTTATTAAAACAATAAGCGCCCAAGAACCCAGAACGGGCTGGTGGGGGAGGGGAAGGGGCGGGAAGAGGAGGGTCGCACCGAGGTAACTCCACGCTGAGCGGCGACCCCGCAGCCTCCCGGCACAGCCGGGCCGGCTCCTCCAGTCCCGGCTCGGACTCTCCCCGGATTCCAGGTCAGCTTCGGAGTCAGGAGTCCCGTGCCCCGGCAACTGCGGGACAGCCTCGCGGGAGCCGGCCGGCACTTTTGCATGAGCACCGGAGCGCTCTGTCTAGACGCTGCAGCCGGGAAAGCGGGAGCCGGCGCGCGGGCTGTAGAGCCGGGCAGGCAGCGGCGGCGGGCAGGGGCGCACCGTGCCGGGACCAGCTCGCCGCGCCCCATGGGGAGCCGGCGGCCGCGGCGCAGCTGAGGCGGGCCCGGCGGGCCAGGCGCGGGCCCCGGGCTGCAGCGGCCCCCTCTGCGGCTGCCGGGCCGGCCCGGGAGCCCGGGGGCTGGGGGGTGGGGGGTGGGGGAGGCCGCCGATCGTCGAGGCCGGGGCCCGGGCGGAGGGCGCGGCGGGTCTGCGCGCACGCTGGGGCGCGTGGAGGGCCACGGAAGGCGAGATGAGTCTGGTGGGGGGCTTTCCCCACCACCCCGTGGTGCACCATGAGGGTTATCCGTTCGCCGCCGCCGCCGCCGCCGCTGCCGCCGCCGCCGCCAGCCGCTGCAGCCACGAGGAGAACCCCTACTTCCATGGCTGGCTTATTGGCCACCCGGAGATGTCGCCCCCCGACTACAGCATGGCCCTGTCCTACAGCCCTGAGTATGCCAGCGGCGCCGCCGGCCTGGACCACTCCCATTATGGGGGAGTGCCGCCTGGTGCGGGGCCTCCGGGCCTGGGGGGGCCGCGCCCGGTGAAGCGCCGAGGCACCGCCAACCGCAAGGAGCGGCGCAGGACTCAGAGCATCAACAGCGCCTTCGCCGAGCTGCGGGAGTGCATCCCCAACGTGCCTGCCGACACCAAACTCTCCAAAATCAAGACACTGCGCCTGGCCACCAGCTACATCGCCTACCTCATGGATCTGCTGGCCAAGGACGACCAGAACGGCGAGGCGGAGGCCTTCAAGGCGGAGATCAAGAAGACCGACGTGAAAGAGGAAAAGAGGAAGAAAGAGCTGGTCTGTACTGGGGCACGGGGCGGTGAGGGGCTCGGGGTTCATGGGACCGCTGTTCGGGTCTTCCTAGTAAAGTTAAGAAATTGCACACCTCATTCTTTGGATGCGCTGTGCGCCAGTTTGTTTTCACCAGGTTGTGGTGGGGATGGATTTCTGCAAAAGGTGGGAAGACTGGGGGATGTCAGCGGCCGGACGAGAAAGTTTTAGACGCTCGCTCGGAGTTCCTGGTCTTACCTTGAGGTTCTCAAATCCTCTGGCCATTTAGAACCGGCCTCCTAAACTGTAGGGACTGACCCATCTCCCAATCGCACTGGCCGGGTCCCCTCATTCTGAGGCCATTAGAGCTATCTTTTGGTTCCAGTTCAAGCTTTCTTTTAAATATTTCTGTAATAAGTTGTCAATGATCTCTGGGTTCCAGTTATTTCACTATTGATCACATTCCCCACTCTAAAACGAAGGCTGCCTCTGGCTCCAACACTAAGAAAACGTTATGTTTATTCACACTGCTATGGCACGGGAGAGGTGACCGGTAAACATTAGGTACCTTTAACGTAAAAAAAAAAAACAAATGCTTTCTCTTTGATTGTAATGTTAAACCGTAATTTCCCAAGCGCTGGGCGTCACGAGTATTTCTTACTTTATTTGGATGCGCATTTTAAGAGTTAAAAAAAGGAGGCATTGTGGTCATTGTTATTAACACTAACACGAATTTATGCTAGACATCTAAAGTGTTCTCAGGTCCTTACCAACTGCCTGGAAATGGTGCTGGGGATAGGTCTACGGTCAGTTAGGAGGAACCTGGGAAACAATTCCATTTGTGGAGGTTTTCTCCTTTGTGGCTCCAAGCCCTCTGATTGCTGCGTAATGGAATGACCTTCCAAATAACCAGAGCTTTCAAGGGCCTTGAAGACGAACTGCAGAGGGCACAGAAACGTTGCTGCCTGGCGGGAGAGGCCCAGGCCAGAATGTGGGGTCGCTTTGAAAGTAGGATCGCTATTGAAAATGCAAGGCAGATTTAGCACCGGCCCCTGCCTCCTCTCCTTCACTAGCAGGCAAAGGGAAGATAAGACCCCGGACTTTCCTGTAAACGACTAGAAATCGGGCCGTTGTTTATAAACTTTCCACTGGGCCCTTGAGCATTGCGAGGGGAGGCCTTGGATGTAGCTAAAACACAGGAAACCTGCCTAACTTCTGCTGGAGCCGGTACCCGGAGTCGCCCCTTCTTAAGCTCTTGTACTTAAGCTGTGTCCTCCAGCCTGGGAAGGGCTAAGGTAACGGGCACCAGGTATCCTCCCTGAACGTCTCTTTCCATTTCTCTCCCCTCTTTCTGTTTAGAACGAAATCTTGAAAAGCACAGTGAGCAGCAACGATAAGAAAACCAAAGGCCGGACAGGCTGGCCGCAGCACGTCTGGGCCCTCGAACTCAAGCAGTGAGAAGAAAGAGAGCTGGGGAGCTCCGGGCCGAGGTGCCAGATGCAGACCCAGGACTCTCCGCAAGCCCTCGGACTCCCTTCTGAGGACTTCTAGCAGTTGGATAATCCGGTTTATTTATGTGCAATTTCCTTCCCCCATTTTTGCCCCCCCCCTTTGAGGCATCCGCTCCCCAACTCCCTCTCCAAAAAAAGAGTGGATATTTGAAGAAAAGCATTCCATATTTTAATATGAAGAGGACACTCCCGTGTGGTAAGGGACCCCGTCCTTCTGTGTGTGAATGTTCCCTCTTGGCTGTGTAGACACCAGCGTTGTCCCCTCCCCCACGCACCCAACTCCTTCCAGATAAAGAAGTGGACACTAGTGCATATGTGAAGTGTATCTTTAATCCTCGGCCTTTGGATATAAATATTCCTGGGGGTTAGAAAGTTTTATTTCTAAGCAGAAAGCAGGGCCGCCACCATGTGTGTTGCGGGTCGGCCACCGAGTGCTGTCATTGCAAATGTCCTCGTTCCCCATTCGAAGATGTTTCCACCAGCTCCTTGTTTTGTGCACTTCTGTCCTCTAAAACTAAGTGGAATTTAATTAATATTGAAGGTGTAAACGTTGTGAGTATTCAATAAACCACTGTGTGTTTTTTTTTACAAAAAAAAAAAAACCTAATCTTTATATGGGTGATACCTCAAAAGAATTTTGAAAACAAAGCTGTTATCCTTGTTTTCATAGTATTTAAAATATTCAGAAGTAAACTAAATTATCGTAATTGCCTCCAACTTTATTTGAAAGAGTCAGTGGTTCTAATCAATCAATGTGACCTGAGGCTTCCTACATGAAGGAGCGCATATTAAAGTGAAGTGTCCCGGTGAAAAGCCTGACCAAAGGCCTGGGCTTCCATCCAGTGGTATCTCTTTTCTTCTTCCCGAGCCTCTCGGGAGACTTTGGGCGGTCTTTAGGAGTGCCTGGCTGGGAGAAGGGTCTGTGCTTGGTGCGGAAGGTGGAAGGGTGCCCTTGTTTTATAGGCATCAATCGGAAGCCCCGTGCCTGGCGCTTCGTTTTGTGTTTGGGGAGCGTGTTTTTTCTGTGGAGGAGGTGTGAGGAGTATCCCCGGCCTTATTACAGGCACAGGAAATAGTCTGGGGCGTTTAGTTCAAAATATAGGGCTTTCATCCAAGGTTTTTTTTTTTTTTTTTAAGACAGAGAAAAAAGGAGAGGAGGGGGTTTTGCTTGCCGTCCAGATCGGAAGATTCTCATCTGCGTGGTGGCGATGGGGGAGGGGAGTCTTTTGAAAAAGAGTCTATGATTAGGTAACAAGGAATTTTACGTCAAGTAAGAAATCGCGAACAAGACCACAGATTTAAAGGGGGGCGAGAGGTTGGGTTAGATTTACAAGGAGCTACAGGGAACTCAATATTAACTGCTCGGTGTCTGAAGTCTTCGGTGCTGCAGCCAGAGCAAGTGGCGACCTCCCCTTGTCTAAAAGCGGTCGGGAACTTCACCCAGTCCCGGTCTTTGCTGTGTCCGGGTCCTGTACCCCAGAAGAAAGTCCCTGCGGCCTGCTTTTCCCAGCGAGGGCTTGGTTAGATAGAGCTCTTAGCTCTAGAAATCAAAGAAACTAGAGAACTATTAAGAAGGGGCTTTATGGGGGTGGAGAACTGGGGAGGAGGGGAAGGATTTTGGGGAGGAAGGAAGATGAAAAGTATTAAACCGGTTTGTTTCATGAAACTCATGTATATAAATTCGGTGCTGTAGAGCCTTGCCAAAGGGTCTCCGTCTTTAGCCATCCCTGCGGTAATGTTCACACCTTGCCTTTGCGCACGGACCTTTGAGCGTTCCCACGGCTCTCTGACCGGGGGTGGTCTGCAGTTAGCCTGACCAGACCGTCGTGGGTGAGGGTGGGGGGCGGGTTGAGTGGTGTTTCGGACTTCTGCGGATGGCTGACAACACAAGGGGCGAAGGGTTAGAACAACTAGGCCAAAGCGATCTGAACTTTCTCCCCTTAGGTCAGCCGGCACTGGGCCGACCTGGTGGGCGAGGGGCTGTGTTTACAGACACTTGCCTTTGTTTATAAGGGGGGGGGGGATAGCCCAGGTTTTCTGTAGCTCTTGACTGTTTGCCCAAGCGGCTCTTTCCTTTTGCCTGCAAAGGTCTATTGCATCTTTACTTTTAACAGCTCAGAAGGAAGATTACAGGTTCTAGAGGTAGAAGAAGGGGCGCTAAGAGAGTTGCCTGTGAAGGGACTGGTGGTGGTTTAAAGGCATTTCTTATCTTCACCATGAGCCTGGGCTTGGGCCTGCTTGGGGCTTCTCTTTGGGCCTTAATGCACTCTGGGTTTATTCAGGCTTTCTGTTTTACTAAAAACCAGCACAGGGAAGTAAAAGAGCCTGGTGTGCTGTCCTGGTGTTACTGTTTCACTAATCCTCTCTTTAGATGGCCACCCTAGGTACCCACCCCCTTTGACTATCCAAGGCCACTGAGCTGCAGGGCCTTCTCTCACTCCAGCCTGCCAGTACTAGGCCCTGACACCGAATCCCACGCTACTATTTCAACCTGCCAGGAAATCCCAGCAGGCTAGAAATCCAGCTGCCTTAATACTTCAGCCAGCAGAAAGCCCTGGGTGCTCCAGCACCTCAGTTGAGCAACCCCTCTAGCGAGCCACAGTCCTAAACTAGGAGGACACTTCAACCTCCAGAACACAGATTATTCCTTCCCTCAGTCCCGAATCTCAATTGTTCCCAGCATCCCTAGCCGCCCAATAAACCTGCCTTGCCTTGTCAGACCCTGATGAAGCGATGAAGTGAGCAGGATTTCTGCTGTACTTCCCATGCTTTTCTCGGTCTACAAAACGTCTCTTTTTCTCCTTTGTTTAAAAGCAGTAGAGGGCAAAGACCCCAAGCTCCTGCTTGTGGGACGGGCTAAAAGGCCTCTGTTTTAATTGCTCTGATAATGTGCTTGCTGCCATTTTGTTAAGAGCAATCACTCCTGCAGCGAATTCACAAGCGTTCTAGACAGACCGGAGCCGACAAAAATGTAGGATTTGACGTTAAAAGCTAAATGGGAAGCTGGGGTGCGGAAGGTGAATTGATGGTCGATCTGGCTGTCAGGGTTTGGCCCCAGACCTCCGTGCACTACGAAAGCCTGATAACCCTGGAGCGTCTGCAAGCACCCTGGAGCGTCTGCCAGCAAGCTAGGGATCTCTCTCTCTCTCTCTCTCTCTCTCTCTCTCTCTCTCTCTCTCTCTCTCTCTCTCTCTCTCTCTCTCTCTCTCTCTCTCTCTCTCTCTCTCTCTCTCTCTCTCTCTCTCTCTCTCTCTCTCTTTCAGTCTCAGAGTGGACCTCAGTATTCTTCTCAGCTCAGTCTTTCAGGACTTTCGAGAGGAGCATTAACAGCAGCTTCCAGAGCTCGGGTAACAAATGAGAGCTAGGTCACTGGGCGTGGAGGGACTTTCCCTGCCTCCTCCGCCCCAGGGCCACACTAAGGAAGTAGGGAGTCAGGGAGCTCTGGTTAGGCCCGTTGGTTGCAGTATTTTCGTTGTGGGCCTCAGATCTTAGGCCGCCTTTCTGGGTTGTAAAAGGCTTTTGATTTCACCCATGAAAATGGATGCAGCAGTGTCGTGAATGAAGACACTCTTGGGGACCCTCCGAAAATGGGTCTGCCTGAATCCCACGTGGACCGGTGGCCCAGTCCCCGCCCCTCACCTGTGGCCCTGCTGGCTGCTGCCCCAAAGCTAGAATCTCAGAACTAGCGTCCAGCAATGTCAAAGTAGGTGGAGAGAGGCAGGGGGCAGTTAAGGATTTCAGATTTTGCAGAAGTGTGGAAATTGAGAACGATTTCAAATGCAAAACTACAAACTACAGGAGGCGGGGGCTTTGGGATTCCTCTTGAGAGACTTTGAGGGGGAGAACCTGGGCCAGGTATGAGGGCCTGAAGTGTGTCCAAAAGGACAGCAAACTGTAAAAGATGCCACAAAAGTCTGGACTTGCATCTGAACAGAGGGTCTCCAAACCGCAGGGATCGGCTCCATTATCCCTGTGTCTTTAAACCTGTGCTATTTCTAAAGTCGTTTGCACAGATAGTGGGTTTCTCTTCGATTACCGCTTGACATGTGCCTTGTTTCTCCCTGTGCGTGAACTATGTCTACGTACTCGGAGTTGGAAGAAAAGGTTGGCCAGTGGATGCAAAACGGAGTTGGTTTTAGAAGGAAGTTTGTGGTGGCATAAGCCCCATAGACTCTGAATCTGGGCCCTGGCCGCTACCCATCCAGTCACGCTGTCTTAACTTGGGAGAACCGGTGCCTCTCAAAGTCAAATCCTCCGTCCCAGATCTTCGCACGAGGAGAGGGCGCTAACGAGTCTTCCGAACACGCGAGAATTCTCTCCAGTCCAGTCCCCCAGCTTTTGGATCTCTAGGACAGAAAGAAAAATCTCAGGAACCGCCCTCAGACTGGGGTTCAGAAATCGGAGACCCCCACAGCCTAAAAGGTTCGCGACGATGCATGAATTGCTGTTGTGGAGATTATGGGGGGGGGGGGCATTAGGTATTTTTAACTGTTTAAAAGAGGAAGAAGGGGGCCCGCTCCAAAAGAGGAAACCAATCCCACGTTTCCGGGGGCCGGACAGTTCTAAAAGCACCGCCTCACCACCCAGCCGGTGTGCTACAGTGCACAGTAACTGTCTGCCCCAGTTCTAATTAGCCTAAGACGGCTGAGCTGCTTTGGCCGGCAGGCCTTCTAGAAGTTAACGCAACAGAATCTCGGACTCCTGCGCAGTTCTAAACTTCTTCCCGGGTTCTCAACGTTCCACCCTATCCAGGCCGGTTCTTCATCCAGGAGCGTGAGCATCCAATCCCCTGCACACACATTCCCTCCAAATTTCTCCCGGCATTTCGGCCGCTTTGATGATCAGATGGTAGAGCCCTGATTACAAATTTATTCCCGGCCTCTCTGTCCGTCTTTATCTCTGCTATTAAGGACATCTGGGAGTGATTAGTGCCGCGCCTGCGCCCGGCCGCGCTCTCCTATCTCGCCACAGCGGGGCCCAGAGCCTCGCTGACGTCAGGGCAGACGGCTCGGAGCCATCCCAACAGAGCTGGGTGTAATCGGCTGCTGCGCGGCCAAGTTCTCCCGGGGCCAGGCAGGCAGCTGGAAAACTCCATCCGCCTGCGCGAAGAGACCTTCTAAATATATATATATTTTTTTAGCCTAGAACACTTTTTTGTTTTCCTTGTTTGGGGTGAGAATGGGCCAGTTGGCGATGCTTACTTGAAACCTTCCAACCCTGTCCGTCATGAGCATTCTTTAGTAAAAGCCTTCTTCGATTGGTCCCTACCAACCTTAGCTCTTGGGTTACCCCTGAGCCAAGCGCTGCTTCCCTTCTCGAGCAGAGTCAGGAAAGTAACGGCAGTGCAAAACGAAGACTCACATGGATGCGAGAGGGACCCCCAAGAAACTTCTTAGAGATAGCTAGTGCCCCGCCCACGGCCCCTGCCTGAGCTATAGTCCCTAGGACCAAATGATGGAAATTTAAGCCTAAGGAAGGGGACGATCTGGCAAAAGTTGATTACAGAGCATGACCTTTCTTGAAGCTGCCACCTCTGCACCTGCTGTTACAAGTCAAACGAGGGATCTAGTGAGCTGCCCAGTTAGCTCTTAAGCAGGCCACGCGACTAGCGTGGCAGCTTTATCCTGTGTTGTGTTGCAATGTCCAGGGCAGAGGAGTGAGGTCTGTGTGTGAATCCTAGACGCTCAAGACCTCTGAGGAGCTGCTACCTGACAGACAGGTGCGGTGCGGTGATGAACCCAGTATCCGAAACTCTTCAAGATGGAGCTTCTCATTCCCCAGAGAACTGACAAAATTACAAACCCACCCCTATTTTATCCAAACTTCCAAAACTTCTGATTGGGCAGGCCGTGGGCTTCATTTTAGAGCCTTGCAATTCTTAGAACACCCGCAGAGAATTCTAGAAACATGGCCTGGGGCCACACCAACCACCATAATCAGTCCAGGGTCTTAGAAATGTCTTCCTTGACCCTCCAGAAACACTTCCTGGTATGGGTAAGGGTGACATCATCACGCCTGAGAAAAGAGGATGGCGGGGCCTCCATTATGGAAGTCTACACCCTGCAAGAGAGAATTCACCAAAACCTGTATCTTCCTGCATCTCAATTGAACTTCATCAGTAATCAATGACTTTCATAGAGTGGGGTTCACTTCCTCATACACTAAACAGAGCAAGCTGCATGTCCAGTCAGAGGCTTACAGTTCGGAGGGGACAGAAGACCGCCTTGGTTTGAGTAAAGCGATAAAATGACAAAATCCACTAAGGGAACAAAAAAATATAAAAACAATTGGGGAATCCAGAACCCCCAAAAGTTCTTCACAATCAGCTGAAGCTACTCTATAGAGCAGACTCAACGTCTTCACGTAATCTAGGGTGGAAATGGGGAATTACTTGCCATTCTAATTCTTGGCGGGGGGGGGGGGGACCTCTGAGGTGTGAGGTTTGAAGAATCAACCCTTATGGACTCTGGCCTGGCTGAGAAAAAAAGGCCATGACTACAAAGCACCGGTTTTTACACTGTGGGTTCTTCACAGTTTGCCTTTATGTTGAAATTTGATTGGTGCAGTCAGACAAATTTCTGAGTTTTGATTTGGTTTGGTTTGGAGGAATTTGCTTGTATTGTTAATTGGTTAGTTGGTTAGTTTGGTTTTTTTTTTTTTTTCCAAGACAGGGTTTCTGTGTGTGTAGCCCTGGCTGACCTGGAATTCACTCTATAGACCAGGCTAGCCTCAAACTCACAGATCCGCCTGCCTCTGCCTCCTAAGGGCTGGGACCAAAGATATGCCCACTACTACCTGGCCAGATTTCTGAATCAGGTCACTCAAAACCACAAAGATCCACACTATTCTGACCTACAGTGTTTTCTTGCTCCGGGTACAAGGCTCCAGGTGAGGCTGGGGTAAAACTAGGCGAGTCACTGGTCAGAGATTCTCAGTTTATGACCCCAAGCAGAGAATCTAGATTCATAGGAAGCTGAGCCTTTCACATAATAATCAGGGGGTACTTGACAATTCTGGCCTCCAACCAGTACCTCAGCTGCTGCTTTCTCAAGTAATTTTTGCTCTTCAAAGTATGTTTGTGGCTGACAAGATCTTGCTAAAATAGGTCAAACTAACCCAGAACTCTATGTGGATTATGCTAGTGTCAAATCATGGTAATCCTCCTGCCTCTGCCTTCCAAGCACTGGGATTACAGGTGTGTGCCTTTATGATCAAGGTCAAATAGTATTGTTAATACACAAACCATCAGAAGTGACCAGACCCAATAATCTAGTGTTTCCCTATGACCAAATGGTGTGTTCCAAAATATTCCATGTTGTCACACCAAGGCATCTTCCAGCCACTGGTGACCAAGAAGTAAAGAGTCTGGCAGACCTGCAGAAACATATGACTTGTTCCCCTGATGCTTGCTGCTCAGCAAGCTAAAAATCACTTAGAACAAACAAGTACATTTAATCAAGGGCAGAGAATTCTCAATCTTCATTAAGCATATTGCCTGGAGGAGGCCAAAAAAGATAGTATTCTAAAGCAAGATGGCAGCAAATCCCCTCCTCTGTGAAAAGATGGTCGCCAATGACCACTGATGTCTGGACCTTCTTTATAAGGTGGGTTGCTACTGTTGCTTGGAACGCTCTCTCTCTCTCTCTCTCTCTCTCTCTCTCTCTCTCTCTCTCTCTCTCTCTCTGTGTGTGTGTGTGTGTGTGTGTGTGTGCCTCGCTTGTGGCTTTTGTTTTAAAGAAAACAAAAACAAAATCTAAGTTTGTAGCTAGTGGGGGCAGAAGAAAACTGATGCGGTTTTAATGGGGGAAGGTAGCGGTCAGACCGCCTGACCATCGCCTTCCTTGCAAATCTGGTTTTCATATTCTCGCTCAGTAATCACCTCAAACCATAACTGTCTCTGAAATTATTCATTAAAGTCATTTTTAGGGATTCTCACAGGATGACTCTTACGTTTATGATCTGAGAGCAATGACATCAGTCTCTGTCTTTTTTCCGCTTTTAATTAATGCTCTGGAAGACGGGATTGGGGGAGGCTGAGAGCATAGGGAGGGGGGCGGGCGGGGTGGAACCCGCAGGCCTCTCTGCTCCAGCGGTCAGCTGAGCGTCGGCGCGCAGACATCCTTTGATTAAGGAGGGTATTTCGGGGAGTGCAGGCTGTGCAGAAGATCACGGCTGTGCCCTGTGGTGCTGTCAGCAGTGACAGATCCCAGATGGAGCCGCTACTGTGTGGCAGATTGAGTTTCTCAACAGAAAACTCACCCTTCCTCCTATACGTCTTCAAAAACCTTCCCCGGATACTCCATCCATCCAGGTCGCGACGTTTGAAATAGAAACAGTCCAACCCCAAAGTTGGTTTTGAGTGCGTGCTTGTAGACTAGGTTTATTCCCCCCCCTTCCTCTTTGCTCTGTATTTCCCCTCCTTTGTGTATCTTCAACTCATAGCGTAGATGCGGTGGGTCTGGGGGTTCCTGTTCACCCGGCTCACGGCACCGAGTGGTCGAACCAGCACTGAGGAGGGGTCCCCGAAGGCAAGGCAATCCAGTGGGTAGAAGCTGTCGTCGTCAGCGATGCGGAGTGAGTCTGTGGCACACGAGGGGAAGTCAGGGTGGACCCCGTGAGTCACACTCTGGAATAGAGAAACTGGGGGCGGGGAGGGTGGGAGATAAAGAAGGAAACTGAAGGTCCGCTGTCCTTGCTCTAGCCTGCCTGACTCCTCAGGGAGGCAGTGCGGAGTGCGTGATGAGGGAGGCTGGGTGTTAACGTGGTGGTTGGAGTCGGTCGGTCGAGGATGGATGAGATCTGTGGGAGCCAAGAACCCTTAGGAAGAGGGAAAGAGTACTCTGCGTGGATCCGAGCTGCGGTCTGAGCGTTGAGACTGGTAAACTCCGGCCTTCTCAAGGTGAGAGGGGACGCGTGAAAGCCCAAGTCTCTACCCAATACTCCCCCAACCCCGCATTTCTGCACGTTTTGGGGGTTGGAAATTGGGTTGCAAAAATATGAACGTATTATAAACTGTTCTTTAAAAGTGACTTTAAATGTCTTGAACCTTTGCTCACCGGAAGCAACAGAGATTCCTCTCTTATCCCCACCCCCAGCCCCTGTCCTTCTCAGGAAGAGTTGCTCTGCCCAGCTCTGGGCTAGAGGCAGTGGCTGAAAAGAGAGGGAAGAAAGGTTGAGAGCTCCCGGATACCGAGTCCAGCGGGAAGAGCGGTTTCTAGGCCCCACCCATCTCCCCCACACACTCCAAGGTTTTCTTATTAGTGAATCTTGGCGCGGTCCCCCCCCCCCCAGGAAACATTTGAAATCAATAGGTGAGGCGAGAGAGCATGTTTTGTTCTATTTTGCTTTAATAATAAGCAGTGTGTCCTTTTAAACACCCTGGCAGTCCCCACCGTCCTTCTCCCACAACCTCTCGGATAAGACACAGTTGGAGCATCCAGGAAACTAAAAATACCGGAGATGCCACGCTCAACGTCTGTGAATCCACCCGCCGCTTCTGCAGGGCGGGGACCCTGCAGGTGAGGAATCCTTCCTCACCCAGAAAACCTGACAGCAAGGCCGGTAGCTGGCTCTTTCCTCCTTTTGAGTCAAGGACCCGAGTCTGAGTTAGGTGGGGAGGCCCCACCCTGCAGCCGCGGAGAGAAAGCGGCTCCTCATGACCAGTGGAGCCCAACCAGGGTATCTACACTTTTCAAGTAGACCCTTTGGTGAAATCTAGATGACACTTTTAATGCCTTCCAATCTGCCCCTTCTAGAGTCTAATTTTTGGAAAGAAAAGAGAGAGGTGGGCCACTAGACCCTGTTAATGTCACTGTCATCTGGTATGCAAGCATTCTTCAGCTTGTATTGACGTGCATACTTAGGGGGAACCTATGAACCCTACTCCACCCACATCCGCCAATGTAGTTGTATGTGTCCACCCCAACACACACACACACACACACACACACACACACACACACACACACACACACACATTTCCAGCCTCAATTGTCGGGTAAAACCGAAAAACTATATGAAAACAAAACACGCTGAATTTCAAATCTCCCGCCCACCTCCTCTAGAAGGCAGCTTTTATTTTCATTGCCCATGATGGATGAAAGTAGTTTGTTTTGATTTTGTTTTCTTGTACCCACATGTCTTGTAAAAGGTTCCTGTGCACGGGCCTGGCCCCCCTCTGATGACCGCGGGGGCCTTGCTTCCAGACTGCAGTCCCCACCACTTGGTTTTAAGTCCTCGCCTGGAGCCGAGGTGTAATTGTGACCCGCCCTAACTCCGATTCTCCCGGGGGTACGGTTGGCCTGGCCAGACTGAGGCCGGGACCTCCCAAGTGGCGGCCTAGGCTCTCGAGCCTTGAGGTCCGCGCCCCCAGCCTCCTCCCCCTTTCCTTTCTCTGCGGACTTAGCTAGCCTTTTCTCTTGGTTCTGTACTTTGTCCATGCCCCAGCTCAGAAATGGTAAACCTTTTCTTCCTTTGTGTTTGCTTTATTTGTGTATCTTTTACCTGTTCAGCATCTTACAGGGACTCTTTGGGTCGCCTTCCCATTGAAATCCCAAGTCCGGACGGTCTTGATGGAAATCTGGGGCAAAGAACTGGGAGCCTCTAGCCCCCTCCGCACCGCCGCGGAGTCGGAACCCGAAGCGCTTCTGCGTAACGTCAGCGCGCCGGGTAATTTACCTTTCCTGCGCGTCTGTCAATATGACTAATTTCCACCCGGGTCAAAAAGCCTTTCTCCGGCAGTCCATCTTGGAGCGCTCTCTTAACGCGGTAGATGGGGGTTGTTTTGTTTCCACCCTAGAAATAAATACTCTTGGGGCGTCCCTGCCAGGGCAGCCCTGAGACGAACAGGGGAATATACACCGTGTCAATTAAAGGCAGTTTGCCTTGAACTACGAACTGCGATTGGGCCTCAACGACAGCGACCTGCTTGCCTTTTAATACACATTACCTAACTCGTCCTTGATTCCAATGCTTTCTTTAGAAACAGATATTTTTTTTCTTCCAAGAAGGAAGTAATTATTGCTCCAATTCTTCTCCATTGGGTGCAGTTCCCTAATGAAACAGAGCCACAATTCAGGGTGTGTTTTAAACATAGGATATGGTTGCTAATCTGGCCTAGACAATATATCATCCAGGTGATGTTTTACAATAACTTTTAAACTGCTACCGACCTCTAAGTGCGAATCGTGCTGTGGAGTCAACCGCTGTCCCAGAGGCCGCTAACGGATGCTGGTAGGAGCAATGCCCTGACTCTGAGAAAGTTAAAAAGTTAGCCTGACAGAGACTGGGAGATTCTCCGGTGGCAAAAACAAAGGATCTCTGAGGACATCCAGTTAGCTCCCTTAGGCTTTGGAGGATTTTACTTCACTGATCCATGGACCAAGGTACAGAGGACACTAAAAAAAAATCCCCAACAGCACATTTTCTTTGCACCCAAGCTCAGGGAGTGAGGACACAACTAATAAAATTAAAATTGTTACAAACTTGACAGTACATGCCTACACACACACACACACACACACACACACACACACATTGGGTGGGGGTACTAGTAGACTTAGGGAAATTTGGCACTTCTGTCAAAACCGGGGAATACCACCCAGAGAGGTGGTTGGCACACCCTGCACCATGATGCCACCTATAGCTCAACCCACACACATGCCTCAGCCGTCACACCTGTCTCTGGTGAACACACACACACACACACACACACACCCTTTCTCATCTGCTGGTGCATTTATGGCCTAATGAAAGTATATCCTTTAGGGAAAAGACTGTCTATAAAACTTGAAATATGGAGAGCCCATTCACACCGGCCTGGTCTTGAAGTTTTGTTTTGTTCTGTTGTTTCCATAATCTCCTCGTTATTTTTACTAAACTCTGGACATTTTTTTCTTCCCAACCTCTGTTCACTCCTCGTGGGAGGGAAACCGGTTTCAGCCTGAACACTTATCTTTATTTGTGGAGAAGGCATTCTTTAGGGGAAAAGGAATTCTACTGCCTATTCTCTGTCCTCTTTGAAAGTCCCTGGCACCACATGTTTCAACAGCTGGGGAAAACCAGGGGTTCTTTCAACCCCCTTTATTTCTTTCTTACCCCAACTGTCTCTCTCCATTGCTACCTTTCGGGGTCTTAGGCCCATCCTTTCTTCTGGCCACTATATGAAACCTCTCCCAGCATACTATGGGAATCACATAAACACCTGTCTAGTGAGGGAAAGATAACCTAATTTTATGTGTGGGACAGAATCTATGGATGAACACAAACGGACAGAGCAGAGATCATTCCCAGTTTACTGTCTTATATACTGTACATTTAAATAAGACAGTTTCTCTGTAAGCCCTTTCATTTAGCAACTTGACCTTTGCCATTAGAGCAGTTTAGGTTGTTTACAAGCCTGGACTGTACAACAGGAAAACCTTCTAGAGACAAAAACATCAGAGGGAGTTGCGGAGCAGTGTCCTTCAGCAGGGTGGATTTGTTTATTTGCACATTCTTGAAGACCACAGCAGTTCTAAATTAAAATATTTGGGGCATGCAAGAACTCTTTAATTACCTGGAAGTAATGAAAGTGAGTGATTATCCAGCCCCAAACATACACGCTTCCTTTGATTTCTGAGTTCACCCTCAGTTCTGATGCTTCTATTTTTTTTAAATAGGTTTGAACAAGGCATGGTTTCTACCCTAAAATCTGAACACTTGGAACTTGGGTACAGGAGATCACCAAAAGTTCCAAGTCAAGTTTGGTCTTCACAGGAAGTTCCAGACCAGCTAGGACTATATAGCAAGACTCTCTTTCACAAAACAAAACAAAATGAAAGACACACACACACACACACACACACACATATTTAAAGCATTGTGTTTTCCTTCCTGAGTCATAGTTGCCTATCTCCTACCCCTTTAGTGTCCTGGGAAAGGAGCAAAGTGTACAGCCCACTCTGAGATGTGTAATTGGGTGTAGGTGGAAGAAAGGAAGCCATTTCTAGGTAAGGATCTTCTCCCTAGGGCGGGGGGGGGGGGGGCGGGGAGAGTGGCCACTACAAAACATCTGCTAGAAACTGTCTTTCTGGTTATATTGTACCTTATTCTTACCCAATGGCACTAAAGGCTCTCACTCCTTCAAATCTACCTTCCCAGTGACTTAACTGGCTTTAAACTGGCTGGTCCCCCTTTTGGAGAAGATAAAAGGAGAGACTCACCTAAAATGCTTCTCTTCTCATAAAAATAGCATTTCCTGGTCAGATTTCCAGTTTAGGAGCCATTAAACACAACAAAAAGCAAACTATGTGTTTTTAAACCCTAGATTCTCAGCAGACAGCAACGAGTACTTCCTCTCAATATGTGGCAGATGCTAAATATGCTGTATCAGGATTTCTTCCTTGGCTCTGTTTGTAAAGATAGGTCCACCTGTAATCTAGACTAGCCTTGAACTAAGTAAGCATCCCTCCTCCTCTGTCCATCTCTCAAGTGCTGGGATTACAAATTACACCATCTCATCTCATGAGATATATTCCTAGGGGAAAGGCATGATGGTCCTGTGAGACAAAAATATAAACAAAATAGACAGGTAAAAGGGGTTTCCAGCTATTTCCTACCCACTGTTCTTCATTGCTTGCTCATCTTCTCTAAGCTTTCTAATATTTGGCAATTCCAAAAGTCGTATCATTTCCATGGTTCTAGCATTGCAAGTCACTGTCGACTGTGTCTGTTCAGCTGGTGGAAATGGGAGGGGATAAGGAAGCTCCTTGGAGGCTTTGAAGAGACTCGCACAAAACACAAAAGTTGTGGTGTAAGATACACCCTAACTGTAACTTAAATTTTACAACCAGTGGTATACCAGAACAAATTATCTCTAAGGCTCCATATTTGATTGTCTTTACTCTGTGACTGATGCCACAGAATTAAGAGAGGGAGGAAAGAAAGGGGAGGAAGAGAAAGCAACTAGAAAGATAGAAATTATTCAATTCTATCTAGAGTTGTGGAAGTGGCTTTGCGTTTTAGTGTGACCCTCCTTCCAACTCAAGATGATCTTGTTTTTGTGTTCTTTTGGGTGCTTAGGATTGAGTCTCAGGCCCTGCACAAGAAGTCCCCTTTCCACCAATCTGTCCCTTCATCCTTCCAAATTGAATACAGCTAAGTTGATATGCATCAAATAAGTCATGAATAAATTTTCTCTTACTATAAGAGAGTTTTTATAGTGTTCTCATATGCAGTTAATTTGTGAAGGTTCTAAATAAATAAGCAAAGGATTAGGTGATACATATTCACTATAAAATAAGTGAGATAAATTCTGAGATGTAATGGTCCCTGCAGACTTTGGCCTCTCGGGTATCTTGTTATTTACAATTCAACAAATGAGGAAAGGATGCTCAGTGGCAAAGAAAGGTGCTAGAGAACTTGCCCAGTGTGTCTGGGGCCCTAGGTTTGACCTTCAGCCATATGAAGTCTGTACACCCAACACACGAGATGAAGATAAGGCCAGAAGTAATTGGATTTTATATAAAAAATGCTTTTATTTCTCTTAAGATCACCCAAATCTTTCAAGTTCTGCAGAACAAATAACACCTTTATCTACATCTTTGTGGTCTTGGGAAAAGTTTAAGGGTCTTATGCCTGAGTTTAGCCTAGACAGTAGCTTATCCTTATTGTTGTTTATATGAAAGATGTAGATGAAGAAGAAGACACTTTTTTTTTTGAGAAAAAGATGTCATGTGTAGAAAAGATGAAGTAGTTCTGTTTTCTGGTTATTCTCTGGCTTCCAGGACTTGAGCAGAATTGTGGTCAAGTTGACTCTTCTTCCCCACACTATTCTTTCCTCATCCCTGTAAGTGATGTTAGAAGCAGTTTCAGTCCCTGGGAAGACTACAGTCATTTGGTGTGGGGGGAGGACTGCTAAGTATCTACACATTTATTAATAACGAAAATATGTTTGTTTTCACTTTGGACTCTCTCCCAGCCCCTGCGTTAAAATACTACTAGAATTAGAAAAAGGGGGAAAAAAAACGAAGGTTTTTGTTTCTTTCTATGAGTGGGTTTTTGTCTACTCTTAGGGACCCAGTGGCAGAGTTTGCCTTACATGCTGAGGGTAAGCTGGCCAGCAAAGTGGACTAGTTTTCAGATCATGTATTGTGGTCCAGGGACGCCTTGGTGGAACCAAAGGGCAGTTGGTGGTGAAAGGGACCCGGAAGCTTGTGCCCCTCTGCAGCCCTGACGCTGTTCATCAGACTAGAAGCTGAAGAACAATGTCACTCTAATTTAAAATGTGCATATGTTGGCCAGCATCTTGGCCAGTTTTATGAGGTTTTACTGGCAGGGTCAGCAGGTCTGATGCTAGTGTTCTCATGAGGATTAAGGATTCTAATGAATCATGTGACTGTGAGTAGACCTGGATGCTGGCAGCATTTAGGAGACCCACTTACCCACCCTCAGGCTTTCCCCCCCTGGAGGTCTCCTTCCATTCCCAGAAGGGAAGACCGATCTCTAAAGACCCACCAAAGAAGAGACCCTCAGGATTTTAAAATATTCTCCTCTTCTGCTTCTCAGCACAGACTATTATAAATGTTATATGTACACATGGGTATAAGTGTATATTTCTGAAAATGTGTACTTGCATGCACATATAATATGAATACAGAAGACGATAACTAAATTCAAGCAGCTGATGTGGACCCGCAGAGTTCATCTGGTCTGGCCACTTCCATGTATATGATATGTTGGAAGATGCTCGTGGTACTAGGAAATCAGGTCTCATTAACTAGAGAAAAAAAAATGGGAGTGATGGGTTTCTCTTCCTTCTGTGGGTGGTTATTTCCAGAGTTCTCCTGTTTATTGCAGATGGCTAAGAGGAAGTTTCGGCAGGAAATGGTTTTTAAAAGGAGGCATCATAGAGAACTAGGTGGGAAGACAGAAATTCTCATCTGGTGGTCGGATGATTAAAGAGACCTATCTCCACCATTTCCTGAATGTCTTTATTCTGTTCCAAGACTGCTGTCGGAGGCTGTTGTTTCCACACCACAGATACTTCATGCAGGTTAATATTTTCCCAAGTCAGTCAGGAGAATGGATTGGTCTCTCCTGGGGAAAGGGAATGGTATCCCTAAAAAGGCGGCAGTTCTAATTCAAAGGTAGCAAGGCTCTGGTGGCAACCCAAGTATGGGGTTCCTTTATAGCACAGGGTCGCTGAGGTGGGGTTGGGACCATAGGTTCAGGAGACTGCCAGGCTAAGCTTTCTCCTAGGCTGCAGAGACTGTAGGCCTGCTACGGGACTGCAGTGGATCAACAAGAAATCTCTAAAAGATGTAAAAGGAAGAAACGACAAAGAGAAGAGCGCTGGAGATTGCTTAGGTCTGAACCGAGGCTTGTGGGTTTCTAGGGTACTTCTGGGGAGGCCTTGACTTGCCTGGCTGTGCAGTCTATATATTAGGAGGAGCCTCCCAGGTTTCTCTGGTCTTTGCACAGATATTTTTCGCCATGTGTAGGAACAAAGAGTGTAGGTGCTGTGGCTTTGGGGGGAGGGGCTCTCACAATCAACAGGACAGGGCAAAAAGTTAAAATCAACCAAGGAAACCAAACAGCCTGCGCACGCCAGCTTTCCATTATTGGAAAGACCTGTTCTGGCCTCAGTGCTCTGTTTTGAAATACGAATAAATGGAGTCGGATCCCATATTACACTCCGGGGAAAGAGTTTTAATGTAAGGGTAAAATATGCTTGCAATAATCACTTGTGGGCCCTGAAGCGCCACTAGAATCTCTGTCTAATTATAGGACGTGAGAGGAGTATTTTAAACCCCATCCTATTTGTAATTCCCCCCGCGGCTGCTGTCGACTTTTAAACGCGAAATTGCTCTTTTTAATATGAATTTTAAAAATACGAATGAGCTAAAGTGAGACACAGGGTGAAAGGGGGCGGGGCAGAAAGGGAGAAAGCAAGAAAAGAGCCTCAGGCCCTGGCCCAGAGTCAAATGGGCATCTAGGAGAACCTAGGCCTGGCCTTCAGCGGGAGCTGGGAGAAGCCGCTTCCTCTAAGTTCCAAGGTTTCTATTTCCGCTTTCTTCCACGAGGAATTGCTCCCGGCTCCAGCGCGGGGGTCCAACAAGCACGGATAAGGAGCGAGGGGAAGGCCGGGCTGAGAGGCTGTGGCCGCCGGGCAGCCGCGGGAGGCCGGAGCGGGTCCCAGCCAGGGAGGGGGGGGGGATGGAGCGGTGCGGGAGGAAGTGAGCTCACCCGGGGAGGAAGGGGAGCGGGGAACCCGGGCCGCGCGGCTTCGAGGCCCCGCGCACAGCGGGGAGACCCGGAGGAGGCTGGGGAAGAAGCAGCGAGCTCCCCACCCTCCGCCTCGGCCCTGCCCAGGGCCGCAGAGGCAGCCGACTCCCACGGACTGCTCGAACGGTCCTCTGTGCTCCCCCGGGTGCAGGAGCGCCAGGTGTGACTTGGAAGCTTCGGGCCTGGAGGAGGATTGGAGGTCAGCACAGCGCTTGGCGTCCGAGCTTTGTTTCCCGTTCTCCACGCGCAGCCCCCCATCACGCCCTTTCTGGTTTTCTTCCCACTGCGGGTCCTGGAGCCTCGGTTTGCTGGTAGAACACAGCCGAGTTGTTTGCGAGGGAAAGCCAATGACTAGCGCGCGTTTGAATAGTGACTGAGTACTTGTAAGATAGAATATGATGCGCCATGGGGCTGTTTTCTAACTTGGGACCAGCTATAACCTGATGAAGTCCTGTGCTGCGAAAGCGCTGGACGAGCTCTTCAAACGGGTCCAGGAACGAAGAGTGCCGGGATGCTGCCTGTCTCGTAGGGAGGAATTCACTTTCTGGCTTCCTCAACTGCATGTTGGAGTGGTTGCCTTCAAGACCCCTTGAGTGCATTCGTGTCTAGAAAGAGTCACGAATATCCAGGGATGCGGGAATTGAGGTTAATTCTACTTTGCAGTAGGGAAATCCAGCCTAGAGCTTATTTCTCTGCTCTTCCATGCTGAGGTGGGGAGGAAAGTGTTGTGCCTTTACCCACCTCCCGCCACAAACTCAAAATAAGTCGCACCTCTCAAGGACTGTTGAGAAGGTGGGAGGTCTGGCTCCCTCTATTGCCTGAGACTGGGTTTGCTGAGGCCCGAGGTGGTCAGAACCCCCTCTCCGCCCCCCCCCCTGTATATTGTTGTCAGAATGTGAGCGAGCCTTTGTCTACAGGGCACAGCCTGGGTACTCTAGATCTGGGTTTGATGTGGGACATTTCCATCACTTTAGAGCCTTGGCATCCAGCTCTAACCCCCACCTCTTGAGGAAGCCCCCACATACTTTCTGGCCCTTGCTGGTTTGGCAGGATGCTTAATAAGATGGGTCAGATATTGTCTTCATCTTTTATACACATACATGCGTTGCATAAGATGGAGTTGAAGAGGAGAGGAAGCTGGGCTTTACCCCCACCTGTCAGCTGGGTCCCCATCTGCCACCAGAGTGCTATTAGTGTGTTCCTCTCCTCTCTTCTCTCCCGTTTCCCACCCCTCCTCCCCATTTGCCTTCCTGTTCACAACTCGTGGAGCTCCCTCCACAAAGGGGCTTATGGATTCTGGGTCTTCCAGGCCGGCCAGAGGGGCCTTGTTGCCTGCTTTGGAAACTCTCCACTTTCCCACAGTATTTCACGTTCATATTCCTTTCCACACCCTGTTAGGCAGTAATGGCACTGAACCTGCTAAACACTCCCGTGCTCCAAGCCAGGCCTCCCACAGCCCTTCAGATCTGAAGAGTGGTCTTCCAGCCTCGAAGAGTGCTGCCTTTCTCTCTCCTCCTTGGATTGACCACCCTGCCTCCGGCTTAGGAACATGACTTGGTGCTGGGCACATAGGTCTAGTGAGAGTTTTTCAAGGGGTTCAGGGGGTCAGACATAGGAAGAGGAGGCAAGGGGACAGGCATGGCTTCTCAGAATAGCTGACATTAGATTGGTGATTTAAAAAAAAAAAAAAAAAAGGAACAGCACTTGATCAGTATGAGCAAAATCCTGGCTTCTCTCCCCAGAGGCAACAAACAAGCAGGCCATGCTCCAGTCCTTGTTTAGGGAATGGAACCTGAGCATCTTAGTTACCAGTGGGTGGCCATCTTTTCCCTTCCTGGGCACCAGACCCAATGAGTAGCATTTGGACACGAAGGGTACAGGATGCAGTGTTCCCAACCCCTTATTCTGATCTCCATCAGCTATAGCCTAGAGGGCTAAAGGAAAAGGGGTGGGGCTGCTCTATAAACTCAGGGGGTGTGGGGTTAGGGAAGTGCTGAGGAATAGTCAGTGGAATTCTGGGAGCCCACCTGTGGTGCACTGGACCTGGAATGGAGCCCTCTGTAGCACCTCTCAGGCCTGAGTTGGCTTTCTTGCTAAGTCTGGTGGTCACTGGGCTTCAGTGCAAGAAGTTCAGGGATGTTAATGTTCCTCCCCAGCTCCTCCACAACCCCACCTCAGTTCTTCCATCTGGAGGAGCAATAAAATGTGCCCACCCCTACCTCCAGGACATAGAGGAAAGGAACTAACTTTTAATGAGTGCCTATTAAGTGCCAAACATTTTACAGGCTCACATTGTTCCATCTCTACAAGCTACAAAGAGGACATTTCTAAATCCTTTATGCCTGAAAGGACACTGCGGTCTAAAGAGGATAGCCCTAGCTAGCGTCTGTGCCTTCAAATAAACTCCCAGCCTCCTAGGTCAGAATGGCCCTGAGAGTCCTGTAGGCTGGATCTCCTGATGGCAGACATGCAGAGGAACTTGAAATGCCTGCCATGAGCATCTTCTGCACACTCTTGAAGGGTGGTGGCTTATGTGGTGGGAAATACTCTCCTAAGCGCTTGAAAATTTGTTCAGCATCTTAAGCTGTAGTCCCCAGATACTCTCTGAAACCCTGGTGGCAGAGTCATCTGCTCATATATCTCATCAACCAAAGGAACCCAGAGTACAATGACTCCCTAAAAGTTACTTAAGTTACTTCCCCCCCCCCTCTCTCCATGTCATTAGGATTTGAGAAGATATAAACTCAAATTCCTGGACTTGAGTTTTTATTCCTGGCGGTTAAGCTGAACCCAAAGCTCCCTCTTCAGCCTGGGGTAGGAACAACTCAAAACTAGGGAGGCCTATAAGGCAATTAACTTGATTCTAATGCACAAATACTGTCTCAACATTGCTTCACTTCTCAGGGCCCGGAGTTTGCTTGGTGAGCAGAAGGGATTGCCTCCCTCCATGCTGAAAGAGAGCAGAGTGCTGAGTGTGGGCTTCTGGGAGCAAAGCTGGAGGATCAATTCCCATAGGTAGTGATCTGCAGTTTTATCTGCCAGCCTTCAGCTAGCAGTGGTCTCAGGGTGCTGCAGACATTGCTCTTCTCTAAAAAGGCTATCTCTGAAGATAATGCCTTAGGTTCTGGGTTTGAGGACTCTGCTGTGAAAAGTAGGAGGGCATGTAAAGCTAGGAAGCAAAGCAAATCTATAGCCCTTCAGAGGAATGCAGTGTAACGTGGGAATTTTTCTTTTCTTTTCTCTTTTCTTTTCTTTTCTTCCTTCTTTCATATGATACATCCCAAGTAGAGTTTCCCTCCTTCCACTCCTCCAAGCCCCTTCCACCTTCCCTCTCCCCCAGATCCACTCCCCCTCCCTTTCCCTTTAGAAAAGAGCAGGCCTCCCAGGGATATTGACTGAAGACAAACACGGAACAGCAAAACAAGATACAATAAGACTAGACACAAACCCTCATATCAAGGCTAGGCAAGGCAACCCAGTAGGAGGAAAAGGGTCCCAAGAGCAGGCACAAGAGTCAGAGACACCCCTATTCCCACTGTTAGGAGTCCCACAAAAAAAAATCAAGCCAACAACCATACCATATTTGCAGAGGACCTAGTACAGATTCCTGCAGACTCTGTGATTGCTGCTTCCATCTCTTGAGCCCCTATGAGCCCTACTTAGTTGATCCTGTGGACCTTGATCCTCTAGTGGGTGACATGGAAATTCTTGAAGGAAATTATTCCCTCTTATTTTCATTCCTATAAAGATGCAATCCCTGCACAGATCTTCTCCGTTCTCTAGTCATCAACAGCCGCTTTTGGGGTCTTTGAGACCAGACAATGTAGCCCAATGTGTGGCAGAGGATGACTAACGAACCATCAGGAAGGCCAGTCCCATTCCTCTTCTTCCCTTTCCTGATGCTAACGTTGAGGATGAGTCCCAGAGAAAAGGGGACAGCAAAGGAGAAAATAGAACAGCTGGGGAACGGGAGAGAGGAACCTTACTCCCACAGTCTTCTTTTTAGTCTGGAAATGAACAGTCTGGGGAGCTATACTCATCCAGGTTGAACCACTACTTTCTCTTTGTATAAAGAAGTGTGTGTGTGTGTGTGTGTGTGTGTGTGTGTAGGGTGTGCATTTCTTACATTTGTGACTAATTTAAACACTCTGTTCCCTAATTATTCCTGTAGCATTAAGCCAAACCTAGAGGAGGTTAGATGCGTGGTTATTTAATGGGACTTTTCAATCACACAAGGCTATATTAATTCATTTTATAGTTGCCATGGTGAGAAGAGAGAATATTGTGATTTATTTTCCTCAGTTCACAGATAATGATACTCTATCTAACTCGGCTGTGACAGTTAAGGCTAACTGGCAGACAGGTGGGGACACAGTTCAGGAAACTCCTCTTTCTCCTCTTTTGTGGTGGGTTCTGCCGCTATCTGGTGGTGGTGACAGCAGAGGCAGAAGACCCTAGGCCTTGAGATTGGAATTAGGTTGTTAATTTAAACTAAACTCCCTCTTATTCCCTTCTCTTCCCTCCTCTCAGATAGGCTTCCCACGGAGACTCCAACTGTCTGGAAACTAAAACCCAAGACCACCAAGAGGGAGACTTAAAGGAGAGCAAGAAACCACGGAGAAAGGAACGGCCACAGGAAAGAAAAGAATTGCCCACCACTTTTGAAGGACGTGCGGATTTTTTTTTTCCCAAAGCACGTTCTGACTTTTCTCAACACACTTCCTAGAACCCATTTTCCTTGTTCTTATTCTGAAGGTTTTGTTTTGTTTTTGTTTGCATATTCCTGCAAGACCTTCGGATTGGCAGTGGAAGGGGAAATCAGCAGCCGGGCACGAGACTGGGGTGGGAAAATAAAGCCCTGGCGGCTCCCGCCCTGGGTCCAATCTAAGGCACTCCCCTCCTGGCTACCTCAGGAGCTGGCTGAGCCTCCGCCCGCCTAAGGCTGAGCCCCTGGGCTGCTGGCCACGGGGTGATCCGGGCCAGAGTGATCGTGCTGCATTTATTAACGACTAGACAGATTACTTAAGCCAAGTCCCCAAAGAAAGGGATCCAAATGAGTAAAACAGTTGCAGCTCCGGCTCTAGCCAAGGCTGCGAGTCGGGAGAATCCCGCCTGTTGACAGAGTCGCAGCTTCTTAGGCTTCTCCCGGTTTTAGGACGAGGTGATGCCCCTTGATGGGCTCAGCGCTCTGGGGCTTGCAGTTGTGCGAGGCTGAAAGGTAATTATTGGAGCTATTAGACGATGCTACACCTGGCTGTTGAAATTTGAAGTCATGTCTGGTGTACTTCAGAAAACATTGCGGGCTTTTTTTTTTTCCTCAACAAATTTAGTGTCTATCTTTTACTAATAATAACACAGTCTCGCAACGGCGAACGGATGGATGCAGTCAGGGGTTGCACACTTTGGTTTCTGGGCTGACTTGTGGCCCTCCTTATCTTCGTGTTTACAAAACCAGAATATTAAAGTGCGGCCTCTAGACTATCCTCACCACTGTGCGGTTCCTTCAAGTCTTCAAGGAAAATCTCTCTTCTCCTGTTAGGGTGTGGCCTGCCAGACCGGCAGTTCCCCCTTGCCTTCCCCGCTCCTGCCTGCGACCCCTTGACTATGAATTCCCGTCCTTTTCTGGGCTCTCACTGGCGTGTTCTTCAACATGCCTTCACAAACATTTTCTCAACCTTGTTGGGCAAGGTTTGATCTACTAAGGAGTCCACATTTTGCTCCTCCCACCCCAGGCTGGTCCCTGGAAGTCAGGAGCACAGAGTTCTCTTCCCTGCTTGTTTTCCAGGCCAGTCGCAAATGCATGACTAAGGAATCTGAGATTGAGAGAGGTCTGGAGTTGAGCTGGCCACAGGAATCAAGCGGTGAGGACAGGACACCCGTGGTGTTGGCCCCTAGGGAGCCCAGGGCTGCACCCAGAAATGCAGGCCCAGAGGCAACACCTAGATCAGAGTTCAGCCTCCCCTCCTCCAGCCCTCACAGGCTTGGGGGAAGAGTTTAAAGCCACAGGTATCACGTCCTTTTGATGCTTCATAAGGAGTCCGTCTTTGAAACCAGGCCTCCTTTTTATGTATTTATTTTCTTTTGGTAAGGAAAGTAAACATCTTGTTTATATTTCCATAGTGGTCAGGCCCCAATTATGCGTGATTCCAGCCACATGACTGCTGCAGCCGGAAGGCGCCATCCTCAGAAGAAGCCTGGAATTTCACATCGATTTTTTTTTTTTTTTAAGTTTAGACCGTTTGCGGAGGGTCAAGAACTGACAGGCTGAGGGTTGGAAAGTGGATAGCCAGGATTCCCCATTTCGGGGAGGAAAAAAAAAGGCCTTGGTGATACTTGCAGGGAGGCCCGAGAAGGCGACCCATCAGCGAGCTTGCCCCTGCCTCTGCCTGCCTCTGCCATGAAGGTGGTCTGGGCATCAAGGACGGCTCCCCTAGGTCCACATCTGCTCAGCACCGCTCTTCAGCCAGGACCCAGTAAAATCTCCTGAACATGTAAGACACGAAGAGAGGGAAGGAAGGAAGCATGCAATGAGGGAATATCAGAAACATCTTTCTGGTCATGTGAACTTTATTGCAGATCAGAAAGTTATCCGAAGGCTGCCTCAAACTTCGGACTCCATTGCTCCAAATGCTGACTGTTCCTCGCACCTCACCACCGGCTGCAGCCTGCTGACTAGGGGCTTTTTCAGATTTCCTCTTCTCTCTCCAGCTTCTACCCCCACCTGGCTGGTGGCATTTGGAGATGATTTTCCTTTTCTCAATTCACCAGACCATGTGGCTCCCGTGCTCACCTGGGCTGGTGCTTTCCCCAACCTTTCTTCCTGATGGGAATTCCAAATCTCCTCCTGCAGAAGGAAAGCCAGGTTGAGGAAAGGTCAGAGAAAGGAAGTCAAGCTGGAGGTCCAGGCATATAGTATTGTATTCTCTGGGTGCCTTTGATTCATTCCAGAGAAATAAAAAGTATCTGAGGAAAAAAAATTATTTGAATGGGTGACCATCTGCGTTCCCCTAACTCACTAATTCCCAGGCTTGAGCCCAGTTCATGCACTGGGAGCGTGACCTTGTTTCCCTAAAAGGCCCCTCAAAGATCTGAGTACACAGTAGGCTACAGCAGAAGTTCTGAGGGAGAAGGAACAGTTATTGTTATTGTTATTAAGCAAAGCCCCCCCCCAAGTGCCCATCAGTTTCTGTGCAGTTCATTTCATGGTCAGAAAGAAGACTGAGATTATCTCCGGAGGACCCGCTTCCACCTTCCACTTGATGCCTCCCCAAACATCTCAACAACCTGTTCCCCCTGAGTAACCCACATAGAGATTTGGAGGTACTCCACTCTGACGGGCTGGTTTAACTGGCAAGACATTACTGTGACCCCTGTGCGTGTTTCCTGACCCCTAGAGGTCAGAGTGAGCAGAGCCCGCGGGGGGGGGGGGCAGGAGGGGGGGCAATCTAACCGGAATCCAAATGTCTAAGAATGGGGACTTCTCCAAGATCTGTTTATAGAAAGACCATTCATCTTGGGCCCAGTGAATTTAACTCTGTATTAAGACAGTCCAAGATACGCCCCAGTGAGGAAGGAGCAGTTTCAGGAAGGCTGAGGCCCAGTCCTGGCTGTGCAGCTCCTGCAATGTATGACCTAGAGCAAGAAGTGCTTGAGCCCAGGAGTACCTTCTGGATTAAAAGGATGCTCGCTCTGGCGTTGCCCACCGGGACAGTATTGGAACACAATGGTTACCAACCCCTCTGATTGCAAAATTTTTCACTAAGTGAGATAATCCAACCACAGCTCTGTGACTAAGCAGGGTGGCGCACACAGCCCGGAAGTGCTTGCTTAGACCCGGAAGCACCTGGAGCTCGCTGCCCTCTTTTCTAGAAGACCTGGGTGGGCTGCCTTCGTGTGTAAAGCCGAGTTTGTGACCCCCATGCTGCGCCTGTCCCATCCACTTCTGGAATCTACACTGACTGATTGAGGGAAGGGAAACGGCAACCACGAATGGAGTTAGTCTTTGGTTTTAGTTAAGCTGCCGGTCTACCCTACAGTGGGCTAGAAGAATGCATGCGAATGGAAAAAATTTATAATGGGAGCCCGATGACTAAAAAGCCTCACCATACATTATAGAGTGGATGTACTAGAGATTTTCGGGAGGGATTCATAATTCCACACGTAATAAAACGTCCCGTATGCCCCCGCCCTCTGTGTCCCTCTCTGCGGGAAGCTCCCAGTGATCCGAGATGGGCGGGAGATTTGGGTGAGCAGAAGTTGGGGCGCACCCCGCTATTCGCAGAGGAGCCGGACTCGCGGGGTGGCTGGCGGGCCTTATGACCTGCCGTCGTGCGGTTGTAAGAAAAATGTTTCAGATCCAACCTGGGCTGCTTTCCGTAGCACAGGAAACATCTGGGAAGTTTTCTCCTGGCGCTTGGGAAAGTACTTACTTCCGAACTTGGCGCTAAGGTGTTGTAGGATCCAGGCAAACCTGGGTCTGAAGACGGGGCGCAGGGGTTGGCAGGCCTGCCAGCTGCCTGGGTGCATACCGGAGGGCTAGCTGGTGGCAGGCACTTGGGTGAAGGACGAATTAAACACTTAGTCCCGCGTCTGCGCCTTCTGGCCTCATTGTTTTAACGTCTGTACTACTTAGCCACAGTTTGAGAAAGAATAATGCTTTTACATTCAGAAAAACTTCAAAGACCTGGGCTTGCTCAATATGGAGCGCACATGGTAGTCTCCGAAGGCCTTGTCTGCCAAAACATGTTTCTCAGTATTTTTTTCTCTTTTCTTTCAATCTCCCACCGCCCCGGCTTTTCTTTTCCTCCCCAGATGGGAGGGAACTGCGGATTCGGGTTACGGAGGAGGGCATTATTTTGCCTTTACACGAGGCAGTTAGGGCTATGCCGAGGCATTTCAAATACAAAATCTCCACTGGGAAGGGACTTTGAGGATGGGCTGGCTCTCCAGACAAGGACAAGGTAGAGAGTTTGTAACTCGATCAAGACCCAGAAGGGACTGTGACAGAGCAGGGGCTTTATCAGGTTTACAGACGCCCTTCTCTTCCCTGTTGGCAGTCACTCTTTAAACTAAGGTGAAGATACACTGGCTGTGCCTCTCTACCACAGCGCATGGCTCTCAATGTAGGAAGTCTTTCTATTTATCGAATAAATACTGAACTAACCAAGTGAAGGCAACAATCGGTCAATCCACTTTTAAATTTTTGTTCTAAGCAACATGAGTCCAAAACCTTTTTTTACTTCTATTATCTAGACAATTATCCCCATTTTCTTCATTCCGTCCTCCTTTCCTTCCTTTCTTTTTAAATTATGTAGCAGAGAAAAGCAGATAGTTGGCTAAAAGTTCAGATAAATTGCTTCAGGGATTGGGTCAAGGAAAATCCCAGAACAGTAAGGTTCATTAAATTGGCCCACTTCAACTTCTGGCATTTCTTGCCGAAGCTGAGACCCAAGAAGGCAACTATTTGCCCAGGGTGGTAGCTAAGCTGGAGCTGGGAACTCCTCCTCCCAGGCCGACCGTGACTACACTGCACACTGCGTGTGAGGCTCCCCATCCCACAACAGCCCAGTGGGAGAAGTCAGAGCGCTTCCTCTCCTTTAGCTCCTTCCATTAAATGGGTTCCTTTCAGCACCTCTGAAAAATGATCTCAGGATATTATCCTTCGGCGAATTTACATGCAGAGTTAGTATTAAAGGCAGGGGGTGAGTTCTTAGGACTCCCATTTAAAAGAAGATTCAGGCTGTCGCCAGAACATACAGGTTTTTTTCTAACACAATATTGACGGTGGTGGGGGAAAGGAAGCACGGTACACATGGAGCTGATTAGCCATGAATCTTATCAAATCTCCCAGCTCTCTAGTGGCATGGAAGATATACACAGGGCCAGTGGGCAAATTACCCTGCCAGGGGTTAGAAAACCTCTGCGTTAGACCTGTATCTGTCATTGATCTGTTGCATGGCCAGCCGCTTTCTTTAGGTTCTTGTTTCTCTAGATATATGCATACATGTATTATATATGCATATAAAATATATACGCATATAAACATAAATATTAATTTTTAATCTCGGTGAGCTCTTTGGCCCATAAACCTGAGTACTCTTCTGATTTTCTCTAATATTCTGTTTATCAATATTTAATAAGCCATATACACATGCCTGATGGAAGCGAGAGCTTTTTCCTATGTGAAGAACCAAGAATGTGAAACCTGGGAGGGGTCTAGAGCTGCTTCAGCCCCTTCTTCCTGCAGATAAGATATGGGCCCCTAAGAGGCTTCCTCAGGTCACCCAGCTGGAAAGTCCAGGTTGGCTTCTTACCGTGTCACATTCTTTCCAGAAATTTATTACAGAAATGGGGCCTTCTGGTCTCTGCAGTAGGCTTATGTTAGCACAGATCACATCTTTGGCTACCTCTGCCTGCCACTCCAATGATCTGCAGGCCTTACATGGCTTTCTATTTCAGGTTATAAATAATGAGGACAGAATGCAATGGTTTTCGATTCAGGAGCACGAACTTAAAGCAGAGCTCAATGATAGTACCAGTACCTCCAAGTGGAATATGCTTCTTTTCTTCTCTCTCTCTCTCTCTCTCTCTCTCTCTCTCTCTCTCTCTCTCTGTGTGTGTGTGTGTGTGTGTGCTTAGTTTTGAAACAGTTAGCATCTCACTGTACAGACCAAGCTGGTCTGGAACTCACAGACACCTACCTACCTCTGCCTCCTGAGTATGGTATTTAAATGTGTATGCTACCATGCTCCACTGGAATGGTATTTCTTTAAATATACTAATCCTACTGTGTAAAACTATTCAAGACCTTAGGACACAGTTATGGGTTCTCTAGTGGCAAGTACAGCAGCAAATCTTGTTGTTAAGACCAAAGTCCAAGGTAAGAAAGATGAAAATTTCTGGTCAAACCAAATAATGGGGGGGCATTAAATAAAGCAACGTTCATGATATTATTCAATTGACCTTTCTCAACACACAACAGACACCCAAATTACAATATTGGAGGTAAACGGAGGAGCTAACCAGGGTGATCCACCATAGGATAAGGTCATAAGGATAAGGTTGCTTGCCCTGGGAGATTACATTCTCCTGTGAGAGTATGGCTCAGGGAATTGTCTTCCCACTTTCTCTTTCCCACTCATCTTGCCCTGGTTGACCTTGACTTAGCAGAACTGATGCTTAGCTACTTGACTGAAATCCAAACTGTTTCAGAGGGTCTGTTGGGATGTGTAAAGGACAGGCTAGCTTCTCTGCTCTGAAGTTGTATTTTCCTTTAGGCAGGAGACATGGATATCTTGGAGACTGAAAGAACCCCAAGCAGGACCAAGTTTTAGAGAATGTCTTCATCCAAGGCCATAAATGGAATAAGAAAGAAAGAGCTGTCCAGTCCCAACAGCCACAGCCAGATGTTGTCCTCGTACTGACAGATGTTAAAAAGTCCAGCTACCATGAGGGCAGGCTGGCTGCTTACTCTGGCCATGGAAGCAGTGCTGAAAGGGCAAAACTCGGTATCTGTCATTCAGCTTTGCTTGGGTTCTTTTGGCTCAGTGTTCCTCTTGCCTTTCCTACATCCCTGCTTGATCGGGTTGTATTCTATCTCAAGATTCAGACTGCCTTTTCTTGAAACCCTACACTAAGCCTGGGGGGGGGGGGGGGGACATTTCTCAAGCAGCTTTGCTTGAGGGTAGTGGAATGTATCTTTTCTCTTTGTTTCCACCCTGGTTTAGTGCCAGATGCAGAATAGGTGTTCTTCACATGCTTGCTGAACATGATCATGCTCAGAGTTCAAGTCAATAGCTCTAGTTCTGCTACTTCTCATTTGAGGGAAGTGATTTTCCCGCGCCTTGGTTTTCTTGTGTGTAAAATGGGACTGACTACAGCCCCTCACATTGTGAAGAGCAAATGAAGCCGAGTGGGGAGGTCTATGTTAAGGGATGACTGCGGCTCTGACATTCCGGCGACTGCAGGCCCATGTTTCCCACGTGTCTACGCATCATCATGCAGTGTGCCCACCTCATTTACATATTTGTGTGTGTGTGTATTTCTGCGTGATACAATGGAATGAAAAAGCTTCCAACAATTTTCTCGAAACTCTATCACTTTAAAAGTAGGCTAAAAAAAAAAATCCGTAATAATTACTTTCTCTACTTTTTCTCGGATGACCCCAGGACCTTCAAAGCAAGCACACTACCTCTTCATACCTATTCAACAGCGGAGATAAGCGGTCTCTACCATCGCTAGCCGTCATTCTGGGGAACTGTTGTATCCATCCATTCAAGCACAGACTGCTCATTTGTAAGGCACTAGATGGCTAATAAAGATCAGTGACCGTTTCTCTATGACTTATTAAACCTTCCTGCTGTAATTAGCATCGCTGAAGGTCAGGGAGCTAGCTTTTCATTTAACTTCCTCATTAATCTCTTGGAACAATTAGGGAAGGCATTATTCCTATAATGTTCGTGAATTAACGAGGCACCGGGCTGGAGCGCATTCGGGGGGGGGGGCGCGGGGGGGTAGTAGGTGTTTCTTAAGCCGGAAGATGCTTTTCCTCAGAGTGGAATGGTAACTTTGGGGTGCCCTTTCTCCTGTCTCCCTTTGGCTCCGCGGCATGGTACCTGTAAGTGCCGCTTTATTTACAACGCTTTGAGTAGCACAGTTACTTCTTCTACATTTTGGACCTGCCTGGAAAGCGGGACTCGCCATTCAGCCGTCAGTGGTAGGTGTGTGGGGGGTCGAGGGTGGGGGGTGTGGGGGGTGGTAGTGGTGATGGTGGAGGTGACTGCCTCTTGGCACCGATCCGGATTGCTGGCTTATGGACCCAGCTGCCCCGTGGCTTTGCTGGGTTGCGGGGGTGGGGGGGGGGGAAGATACTACTTCATGGACTGCTGTGCTGGTACTGGGAAGCAGGGCGCCAGCGCTGTTGCACCTCCTCTACCTCCCGCCTTGTGTTCTTCTTTAAAAAGCCAGATGGCGCCAATTCGCAAGACGTTCAAGAGCGGCGGGTTCCAGGGCTGGCTCTGGAATAGCGAGGGGGCGGGTGGACCCTCACGTCTGGGGCCGGCGCTTTCTCTCCGCCTCTTCAGACACCGGTTTGCTTTTCTCTTTTTTCTTCTCCCACACCCCTCGCAAGATGCCGACAAGTCCAAAGGC